AATGCCTAGATTACTGGGGATTTGTATAGCTGCCGTGGTGTCGCTAAAATTGTCTACACAATGGTCTGTTACTTCCTTCTATCTCGGTGTTTTTTTTAGGTGATGGGCAGATTGAAGATGTGGTGTTGTTATACACAATTTTCATCTGAATGTATAATCATTTCACATTATTGTCTTGCCTACCCGTGCAGACTACACAGGTCTTCTATTGGCTTACCAGGGTGAGTAGGGCATACCGCTTGCACATAGACTGGGTTGTACACGGGTCGGCTGTAGATTTTGGATTTTCCAAGCAGGTGGAGCCTCTCCACCCTGGGCCCGACCAGGATTGGATTTTTGTGCGGAGCATTGGACCCAAGTAGAAGCTGTGTTGACTTCTTGTTAGTGTGAAAGGGTTCCTGAAATCTACTGGACTCGGGTTCCACATGGACATTTTGGATGGTTTTAAAAGGCCTTTTTTATGAAATGGATGAACTATGTGTGCAGAGCTGGAATACACGGTATTGTATACAGGATTACATCATTTTATCAAAATGTTTAATACTTGAGTTTTGAAAGGCTTGTCACTAGGTTATTCATGACAGAGGGCAGAAATCTGTAGTAACGAGGATGATAAATGTGTAGTATAAAGAAGCAATCTATGGGTCATTCTATAAATTTGGGTCCGAACTGTGGCATTTTTCGAGTCTGTGTTACCTTGGTACTTTGCCGTTAACCCTAACTCCCTAGGGGGTGTGCAAAATTATATTGAAATTGGAGGATTCAGGACTGTTAGGGCAAAGTATCACTAAGAATGGTTTAATTGTTGGGTAGGTAGTTTCTGTTTATAATCACTCTTGGAGGACGACATCAGAATTATATATAAAATCAGATGTCAGATGTAACAGGGACAGGAAAAAAAGTGGACCCGAAATTTATCAAAATGACCCGATAGTAAAGGAGAGAAATTTGAAGTAAAGGGAAGAAATCTGCTGAAAAGTGTTAAAAAGTATTTTATTTTGGGATATTATTTCTTATATTTATACGAAGTAACCAGTTGCGGCGCTAGTGTCATAGGGCCGATAGGCACAGAATTTGTCTACATGTAAGCATTGAAAATATCTGCTGGGCTGAATACATGATACCAGCCAAAACGCTATTTGATGTTGACCCATGACCGGTTCCGAACTGACTTTTGGCTTAGCAGTATTTGTCTGCTTTACAGCTTATTGAAATTTAGCCCACAGCCCCAGATGTTAACTTAAGAATTGTACACCTTTACATAAAGAGACTCATAAATTGGTGTGGTTGTTTGGTCAGATTCTTTGCAAAATATGAGGACATGGAGACATTTTGTCAGCTTCAACTTGGCGTATCTTTTCAAGGAAGCCTTGAAGTCAGTTTCACCATGCCCATTGCCCCATTGGCTGTTTTCCCAGTCAATATTTATTCAACTCGAAGCAAATATGATCAGTCATTTGCCCATCCCTGTTCTGTTTGCCGAGTCCATTGTGTCTACACCACTTACATGATTACCTTCAGTATGATCCTGGTAATCCTGGTGTGATTTGGTTGTCTGGGAATGAGTTTCAATTTTGTTAGTTCACAAGATAAATATTTTATGACCAGTTGTAGAGCAAAGAACTATGAATTGTTCCTCTTTGGTGTAGAGAATTTTGGTTTCAGATACTGTTTCAAATGGTCTTACAATTTTCTGTGATTGTTTTAGTCCTTGTATTTCATGTGTGATATGAAATTGGTTGAAACAAATTTATAAACTAGATACAATGTGTAATTTAGTTTGAGGAAATATATTAAAATACTTACAATTTCTAACATGAGTTGCCTGACTGATTGGGTCACGCATGATGCATTTGCCAGATGTTTCCTGTTTAACAATTTTGAACAGAAAAAAGTTCACAAACGGGAAACAAAATATAATCTACAAAACAAATAAAAGACAACTAAAGCAAGTGTACTTCACCAACTGGCTGTGACTAAGTTACATCCTGCATGTCGCTTTCCAATCCACCATACTTTATTCGTAACTGTTACAGAAATAGTTGGTGAGGAGGACAAATCAGGCGGTTGTGAAGTCAAGGTAACCGTGTGGGTAGTGATGACCTGGTAGTTACCGTGACAATGATGGGACTGCCTGTATACAATTGTATATGATCATTCATTGTTCAGTGACCAAGGCAAAAGTGATGTCCAGTTGTCCACACCCAATCCGAGGTCATGATTTGGAAATTATTTTTGTCAACAGACCGTGCTTTTGAATTGAATAAAATTTAAATACTGTAAAACAGTTTTGTAGCCCACTTTGAACAAGAACACTTGGTATGTTTATAGCAGTGTTATGTTCTTCCCAGTGTTTTGCTCATGTGTTAGGGCAAGCGTACCGGTATATGTATGCATATATGTAAAGGCCTCTGTTTTATGTACATCATATTTTACAATTCACAATAACTATCAGTGGGTGTATACACCCTTCACAATGATTATCGGCAGGTTTATGTATAGATTTCCAGTTTTATTTGGTTGTAAAATATTAATACACCCATACGTAGCATAGCTCCAACCAGTAAAAATGACAAAACTAATTAGCAGAAATATTAGAGGTGGAACGTTGAATGTAAATGCTGCCCGATGAACGTTCTGTGGTTTTGTTCCGAATCAAGATAGTGAGTAGAATACATCTGTGAAAGACTCTGACACAATGAAGAACTGAGTGGACACAATTGATGATTGTCGCTTGATTGTGAAGTAAATAGTTTCACTTTTTGTAGATTTGGGACTAGTTTGCATGATTGAGTGCACGCTGCGAAATCGTTTTTACTTTGGTGAATGGTTGAGTGGTTGGTTTAGTAAGAGGGATTTCCATTCAAGGGTTTCTGGTGTAAAGCACTACATGATCGGATTCAGTGAGCAGTGTATAATTAAAGGATTGGTTCAGACTAGTGTCCCGTACGTGTATACCGGTGTGCAAATGCTTTGCACATGGTCTCACAGGTTGGGACATTTTTCAGGAACAGATTTTTAAGATATTTAAGGAAGTATGTCTAGTAATCAGAGGTAAGGATAAAACTTATGTAGGCTTGATATTAATGTGAACAGAAAATGAGATATTAATTCAAATATGATTATAGTTTACCCATGTTGTAATTTGTTTTACAATAAGGAATAAATGTGTGTTTGGGAGGTTTAAATCACTCTGTTTAAGACCACTTGGAGTCTGGGTGCTGATAATTACCCGAGCAAAAATTCCCATTCATAAATGCCTTTTTGGTCAAAGAATCAAAACTTTTCGGTCGACAAAAACCCGATTTTGTTCGACAAGTTCACTTAATGTTTGGTGAAACACCCCTCTAGCTAAATAATGGAGTGTCTAGCTCGCGAGTAAGATTTTAAAAACTCCTTTTGTGAAAATTGGCGCGCGCGTCGCTTCTGTGCGATGTCACGCAGAATGCACCTGGAGTGCTGCGTTGTGAATTTAGGACTATAAAATACTGACTCACTGGCAAGTATTGCGCATGCCTACGTGAGGATTGTGAACGTTCAAATAAAACGGTAAGAGGCACTGGATTTTTAGGAGTCCAAATTTCATGTGACACTGGAAAAGTGTTTAAGACCAGCTAGCCATGTCTTTATCACCCGGTTAAGACCGGCCACGTGACAGGCTCTCGACCAATAGGAATGGGTAAACTGTCTAAGGTATTTATGAATTACTTTTAAAATGGTGCTTTCGTGAAACTTGAATACTTTAAAACCGAAACTGAAATCTTGGGCCTTTTAACCATGTGTGGAACAAAGGGTCAAGGGTTCAACTACTTTGTTTCTGTTTAGGAGTTCCTGTCTCGTATCTGATGGTAGTTGGCTGTTAAAAAGTATTGTTACTTTAAAGTTTATGAACCAGTATGTAAAAGAGCTCTCCATATATTGAGAACAAAAAATAGGCTTTAAAGGGCCCATGCAATGTAATTTTGTTCAATGCTATCCTTGAAAAGGCACCTTTGTGTCCAATTTTACCTTATTTCCGTTTTCGTTTTGCCATTGTACTTTTACATTTATTTCATTTTTCGGGATACATTTGGTACAACAGACAACAACATTAAATATTCAGAAATACACATGAACATTTTAGACAAAACATACACAGTATAAAATTTAACCAGCTCCCACTGGATTACCCAAAAGAAACATGGTTTCTGTCGAGGGTTCTCCAACAGATTAAATATGACACACTAAAAACAATGTTGGTTCCTATTTGGTTATTATGCTTTTGCAAATTTCCATATTTATGAACAAATTACTGTGATGTCATTCTGAGCAGGTACCCCAATGTCACCGCTACTTCAGCACAAAAAATTGCTAGACTTTTGGTTATTTTGCTGTCATACATTTTCTTTCCGTTGGTGATTTGTTGTTGCATCAGTACATGGCAGTAAGCCAATGAGCAACCCTTTCTCACAAATGTTTTCAATGAGCACATTTTGAGTTAAAGATTTGAACAGAAAACCCCTAAACTGAACAGTGTCTTCCTGAAATGGCATTATAGCAACTGTGCCCTCAGTTCTCCAAAAAAACATGGAATTTTTAAGAATGTTAACAAAGTGCAGTTCTATTAAATTTACCACTAAAACAGATGTCAAATAGTTTTCATGCATGTACATAAAGAGGAGCAGAAAAATGCACAAAATATGTTCCTGAGAAAAATTCATTGCATTTCCCTTTAAACATTGCTAAGTGTGAATAAACAGAAAGATGTGTTTGCATCAGTATTTTGTGTTCAGATACATCATTCTGACCTGTTTCTGAACATTTCAAGGAACGGATGTGCAAAGGTGTTCAGTATTTAAACAGCATTGTACACATCTGTAGTCACTCAGGAAATTAGGTGTGGCTCGTTTTTTTTGTTAGCCAATTGTGTCATTGTCTCATTGAAATAATGTATTCACAGGTTTTGTTTTCTGTGAACTGTGTCAAAATTTGTGTTTCCTTAACAATCTTCCCAATCCCAGTGTTAGTGGCGGTGAACTCTTCGAGAGGATTGTATCTCAAGATCACATCACCGAGAGCGAGACGGTCTTCTTCGTCAAGCAAGTCATTGAGGGCGTTCATCATATGCATCAGAAGAATATAGTACATCTGGATCTCAAGGTGGGTACTGGAGAGGATGAAGTGGGACTGTAAAGCTGGCCTGGAAAAAATGAGTCAGTGGAAACAATTTACAGCTGTTGCATAGAGAGGCATCAACTTCTTTCACAACTTGGATTGCATATCAGAAAAATCAAACACTGTCAATCTCTGGCTGTGCTCCGTGGTCATACATGGGTCATAATGGGTGCTGCCAAAGGGGCCTTTTGCTTGACCACATTCTAGCCGTGCCCTTCGCAATTCAGCTTCTCAGCTGCGACCTGCGAGTAAGGATGATTATACTATACTGTATTTCACATGCTATAACCAGGCATGCAACTTTTCCTCGGATCCGCTGATTTCCTCCTTTTTCCTTCTCATGAATGTCATTACAAATTGAAAAACACTGTACAAAGTCATATGTGGTTTGGAATTTCCTTGTTTTTTCAAAATTCTCAGTTACAACACTGTAATATACTGTATTTCACATGCTATAACCAGGCATGCATCTTTTCCTCGGATCCCCTGATTTCCTTGTTTTTTTTTACTTCTCATGAATGTCATTACAAATTGAAAAAACACTGTACAAGTCTTATGTGGTTTGGAATTTCCTTGTTTTTTCAAAATTCTCCGTTGCATGCCAGTATAACAACATTGCACGAGTCCATAATATATTGCGATATTGTTACAGTGAGTGCAATAAACTCTTGTATCCCCAGAAAAAAAGGCCATCCAATATTATTTATATCAGGCTAACTTAATCCAAAAGAAATAAATTCAATGACGTTGTCTTGTCGCCGTCTTCTTTCCTTACTTCCACATAACGTTAACTTTGACCTTTGACAAAATACCTGCTAGCGTAAGCTTATCCAGCATCACATAATCCGTTGGTAGATTCTTCTCATGTTAAACTGATCAAATGACAACTGTATCACTATCAGGAAATCAGACTTGCTTGACTTGTCTTCAACCCCAATTTAAAATGGCGTCCATAGCTATAAACATTGATTTTGAGTCTGAATGCTAATCTCAAGGCCTGAGACCAGCTGGGGTTTCTTTGAGAGCTCCAAAGCTCAGAAATCACAGAAAATAAATATGCTCAGCAAAAAAAAGCTTACAGTTTGTTGGTTCTTAGTTACCCCACCTATGCAAAGATACATTTTGTGCCAAGTTGTCCTTTCAGTCAAAATCAATCAAGCAGAATTGACTGGCTGTGACTGTTTATGTAACTTGGTATGCCTGTGCTTTGACTGTAGGTGATTGATATGACAGCTGTGCCTCCAGTTTCCTGCTTTTGTTTGTTGACTGAATTTGACTAGTCCTAGTGCTTGCTTGAAAATTGAAATGTGGAATTTTTGACTGTCTATGACTGTTTAAACAGTAGGAGGGTTACTATACAATTTTGCCAAAATATGTCTCGTTGGTTAGTGACTCAATGAAGTTTGTCTCTGGTATTAGTCATTATCCCTTTACACAAGTCACAGTTCACATAATTCAACTGGAATTTTATTAACTTGTCAGACAGATTAATTATTTGCCCTAACATGTTTTTTTTGCATGGTCCCCACCAGCGTGAACCCGTGTGCACAAATGTAATATGATGAAAAATCTAAATCTGACCATCAACAGACCCTCGGAATATTTGTTGACCTTTAACATTTACAAACCCTTTTCTCTGTCCTCATACCACAGCCCGAGAACATTCTCCTGGTGTCACCGGACTCGGACGACCTTAAGGTCATCGACTTTGGCTTAGCCAGGGTGGTGTCGCCAGACAGAGACGTCATATGCAAATTCGGCACGCCTGAGTTTGTAGCCCCTGAGGTTGTTTGTAAGCAGCCTGTGACTACTGCTTCCGATGTCTGGAGTATTGGTGTCATGGCGCACATTTTGTGAGTGAATTACACCCGTTACAGACTTGTCTGGAGTTGAACTGAGACATAAAGTACAAGGGCAATTCCAGTTGTATGTAATGTCCGTGACGGAGCTTTTAAGTTAGCACACAACACCTTTGCAAACATCAAAAAAACAAAACTACAAAATTATTATGAAATACCTCACTTGACTGTCGGTGAATAATAGTCTCAAGCATCTTGTAAAATCATGGCACCTGGTGTGCTCTCATTTTAGAGAAAAACAGAGTTTTCATATCAACTTGCAATGACGGTCGACCGAACATCGACCAAATTTAGTTCACATTTTGAACAGGTGCAAGCCAGTGAACAAACCTGAAAATATTTGTTTCAAATCTAATATACAGCCATCATCTTGTAAAGGGCAAGGAGATTACAGACTAGGAGTGTTAGATCATTTCGTTGACTCGTTAATTTGATATGGTTAATTGGCTCTGTCACGGACATTACATTTCCTTTCATAATCCTGAAATTGCCCACAAGGAGTGGTCGACCCAAATACATTTTGGTTTAGAAAGGTGAACTTTATGTTTCAATGTTGTCATTGACTAGACTCTGGAAATGTCCCAAATATTGCAGTAGTCTGTGTTTTCTAACATCGAACCTTTTATGCTATCAAACCTTTTATGTCATTTGAAAATTCAAATTTTCAGAATGGTTTGGTCTGGTGGGACTCTAGCATGTCAGTCTTAAATGGGTAGATTAAAATTACTGTTGTTTGAAAGGAGTAAAAGGAGTTATACTTTGTGATAGGCACTCAAGAGCTTAACAAATTGGTATCACTAAGTTGTTTTTGGTTTTGGTTCTTGGACCACATTGTCGGCACACTTATACTGCTTCGCACTTAATACATCGTCCACTAGCATTGTATACAGAGGCTTAAATAAAGCAGAAAAGGCTTGGTCCAGCACCATTGAATTTGAGACTGTCTAATTCCTTCTCTGACGTAAACTCTATATACAATGGACTAGCATACCTAGCTAGACAAGGTTCCCAGCCACTCTAGTTTCCATTTTTCCAGTCAGAGAAAACTCAGGGAATTTGACAGTGACCCAGAAGGGAAAGGTTTCTCCAATTATAGGCATATGTGTGTTTAAGTTGTGTCCTTTGACTGACTGGCTATTGTAGATTTTTAGTGTTTATTCAGTGTGAATATTACACACCTCTCAAGACAGTCATGCTACAGGGTACACCGCCTCTTGACTTTAGAACAACCTCCTTAAAGTGAAAATATTTCTCATGGATTTTTAAAAAATTTCTCAGGGAACTATCGGGGAAAAACTCAGGGAATTTTGTTTTCATAAAGTACTGGGAACCCTGATATATTTGTCGGGAAAATGTCTGAGAGTTTGACCATAATTTCCCCCTTAACCAAGGGCTTAAGTCAGCATTCGAAAATTTGATGACCAAAGTATTGTTAAATTGAAATTTCCCCCAAAAAAAATCATCATGGAGAAATGAGGTGTCCGAAATATCCCACAAGGTGCTCATAGGATAGCCAGACACCCCTTTGGTCAAATCTTGCCCCTGAAAAGTATATGTATATTTCTGGTTTATATCATTTTAAAACAAACTTGTGATTTGTTATTCTGTCTGCGTAGATTGAGCGGTATATCTCCCTTCATGGGTGAAGATGACAAGCAGACCTTGATAAAAGTCAAGCGTGGGTACTGGGACTTTGAGGATGAGGTGTGGGACGACATCTCAGATGAAGCCAAGGAGTTCCTGAAAGCTGTCATGGTCCTCGATCCAAAGTAAGATGTCCTGGAAATATAATTTGAAGAATAGTAGCACTCCACAGAAGAGTGATAGATGGTAATGCATGATTGCTCGGCGAAGGACGCCACTTGCTGGCACTAATTATGTAACCCTCCTTTGCAAACATACATTCTGCGCAAAGGTGTCCTTTCAGTCAAAATTAATCAAGTGACTACTTTCAACAGTTAACTTAAGAGCTCCCAGCCTACACAGCAGGATTGACTGACTGACTGTGACTGTTAATGTTATACAAATATTGAATGCTTCGAGTGGTGTAGTAAAACTAGCCTCCCGAGGTGATCCATGGACCATTCTATTTTCCCGAGGCGAAGCCGAGGGAAAATAGAATGCTCCATGGATCACCGAGGGAGGCTACTTTTACTTCACCACGAGATAAAGCATTCAATATTTGTTTTATAACACTTCACCCACAGATTCTGCTTGATTTTAATATGTTACATTATTTAAATCTGAACACAGTTGAAATAAACTTCAATTTCAATACAAAATTGGTGGAAAATGTATTTCTCTTTTAAAAACTAACCCTTCACGAAATGTTTGAACCCAAGTCTGCGGCGCGCTCTCTTTGGAATAATACGCGCTACGCACAATGCGCAACGCGCACACCAGCATGCATTTGCACACAGATCCCGCTGTGGAAATAGTACTTTGGTTGCTAATGGTATAGTACTTTGGTTGCTATGCGCATAGTACTTTCGGCCGTGCACAGAAAGATAGCAAAATTAGAAAGTAACATGTGACTCGCTCTCGGCCAATCAAGACACAGAATCTGTGGGTGAGGTGTTATAAAACTTGATAAAGCTATGCTTTGACTGTAGGTGATTGATAAGCCAGCTGTGCCTACCACTTGCCTGCCTTTGTCTGTTGACTGAATTTTGACTAGTCACGGTGCTTGTTTGAAATATGATGTGACTGTTGGTGACGAGTCTGTGTAAAAGGGATGGCAGGGGAACAGGAATGATTTTTTGACTAATTAGTGCACACATGACATGAGGTAATCCCAACTTCTTTTCAGTTGAATGTGCACAAACCCACCGAGTCTTTATGTAGGCTTCATCAGGTGTAAGACGGCAATGTTATTCCAGTGTCTGTCATTACCCTCTGTCTTTGTCACTGAGTCCATAGTTTTAAAGACATTTTTTATTATAAATTTAATTACTCCCCCCATAAGTTCTGAAGTTTTATTGTCATCAGAATTACCTTAAAATGTTGTTTTCTTTTGCAGAAAAAGACTTACACTGGATCAGTGTTTACAACACTCCTGGTTGAAGGTATGAATTTTACTTTTTCAAAATAAATCTTGAGTTTAAGACTATTTGGAAAGGTTCACCGTCTGTTCCTTTGTGTTTCTACTGTTGTACCTTAAAAGCAGTTCTAGCCTCAATTGAACAAGGATAGCAATTGGACTGGGATGTGAACAGGCGACCTCTGGAACTCTGGACGGTCACTCCACAATTTTAAAGATCTGGCCATGTTTGTTAATCTCCGAACTTGCCAGTTTCTCTCTTTGTGCGGTCAAATTTAGATTGCAAGTGAACCCAGTCAGTTTCCCTTTGCGGTTTGTTTGATGTTAATGAGAAAAATGAGTATGGGCAATTCCACGGTTTATACTCACGTTACATTTTTGATGTACTTTTGAGATTCCTTGGGCTGTAATTACCTTACTAAAAAGGTTTAATAACTGTTATCTTCATGGTAGATAGAGTAGACCTAGACCTACCTAAGCACCAAAGATGACATCCAGAAAAATGTTACGTTACATTTTCGTAACGTGAGTAACCAATTTTGTGCGTCTTGTTTATCATACATAACACATTTTTCTGGATATCATCTTTGGTGCTTAGGTAGGTATAGGTCTACTCTATCTACCATGGGGATAACAGTTATTAAACCTTTTCAGTAAGTTAATTACAGCCCAAGGAAACTCAAAAGTACATCAAAAATGTAACATGAGTAACAGTGGAATTGCCCGTATGAAGCATTGCTTTACTTCCTAACTCTCCACTTTACACAGTCTTTCCCTCCTCATTTCCTCCCCCTCCCCCCTCGGGGGTGGGGGGAGGCTAGTGTCACTGCTAGAGTTGTTTATATAGACAGCCCACATAGTACACCACCTGATATGTGAATCTAACATCCTTGTTTGGTCTATCACCACAGTTTGATGAACGTCATGACCAGGGTGTAGCTAAACTCAGCACACAGAGACTCAAGACATTCAACTCCAGACGCAAATGGCAGGTAAGTCTTACAGTGCATCTTGGGAATGATTGGGGGAACTAGTGGCATAAAGGTACAGCCCTATCGGTGTTGTCTCTGTGCACAGGCACTGTACCTTTGGCTCCTACATGTATGCATAAGACATTAAAGTTCTGTGCACGTGCAGATAAAAAATGAGTCGCATGTACTCCACACACTTAACTCCTGAACCAGTGTGCACAGGACTGGTTATCCCATTTTGAATGAGGACTTGGAGACTTAGGAACCGTGCGGCAACTCTAAAACTCCTGATAAGAGTAAAATAGCAATTCATTTACTTCAAACACAAAGCTGTGTGTGGCTTGTATCAATCTTGATAAGTTGACGACGCTCCACGACCATCACAATTTGCTGGTCAAATCTTACTCACGCCGCCTAAAATGATTGCGCAAGTTACTCCATAATGTATCATGGGCTTATGAAACTTTTGTGAAACTGTCATGACTGAAATGTTGCTCAGCGTGAAATGTTGCACAACTAGTGGCACAAAATTGTGGCGCAAGTGGACTTCGCCATTGCGTAGAGTTTCATGAAATCATCTGCTGGTAATTCTGGTTGATGCAGACTTTTGGTTGGTTGATGGTGATTTGTTTCACTCATTTGGGCTTGGATCTGAAAGTAGGGACTTAGGGCTTGATTTGCATGTTTATATCACAAGTCCTAACACAAGTGGGGTCATGAGTGTGAGTAATGTGGGATGACCAATGATAAAGGAATACCTCAGTCATTCTTCATTGGAATAGCTTGGGACTTGATTTCCTTGTACTTATTCTTTTCCTTTTTGTCTTGAATTTTATAGTCTGTACATTTATTCCTCACTGTAGAAAGCACTGACCGCTGTGAAATCCGCCATGAGGTTGAGACGTCTATCCAGCATAGCAGCTAGCGACATCAATGCCTTCAGACAACGTCAGCTGCAAGGCAAGGGCCAGAGTCAAGATGCTGGCTCCCAGGAGAAAGATAACAAAACCCTGCAGGTGGACGGTGAGGGAGAGGGTGGCACACAGGCTCAGACAGGTATGGGGTATGGGTTTGATGAAGATGATGATGATCATCATCCTGGTATCCTACCCCTGCCATGCATCATTGATGACTGTATGGGCGCCGGTGATGATGAGAACCCCGCATGTCTGGTCGTTCCTCCCTTTAAGGCGCAAAGCATTATGGGTCACCCACTGCATGATTCCGAAGCGCTGAGCACCGGCAATGCTGGACTGTCCGCGGAGAACACAGGTATGGGAGTCTGTGACGTATCCCACAATGCATGCGTGTTGTGTCAGTGCAATGCATGTCTGTTGGAGATGAACTTGGCCAGTTATGTTGAGTGTGCTTGTGTGCATGATCCGTCCCTTGTAAAGTGCTGTGATCTCAAAGAAACTGGTGTACTTTGTCAATGTGTGCAGAATTCACGACCAAGAGACAGTGCAAATCATAGTAGAATTACAGATGTAGAACCATTTGAGAGTAATTTTGTCCCATTTGATCAATGTGATGTAAAGAGATCGAATCTCAAAGCCAGTGAACGGGATAGTCCGTGCTCTCTAAGTACCAGTGTGCTAGATCGGAAATGTATCGCAACCTCATCTAGTGTGTGCAAACTTTTACACAAACTGGCAGTATCGCCTGAGGAATTCATGTTGCTTCTTAAGGATGCCTTGAGATTGCTATCTACAACTAAAGATTGTGAAGAAACGTTTGCCTACGATTTGGACAGAACTTCAATTAACGTATTAAACAGTGCCGACATAACTTCGGTATCATGTGAGCGAGTGATTGGGGAGGACTACATCTCGGTGACTGATACAGATATTGCGATGCAACCCATGACAACGCTAGCAGGTTGTTACACGGAACACGTTCCTGATTTAGACCTGGAAGCCGTCCCGCCAAGCGAGGCCTCTGCCGAACTCGACCAGATGAAGCAGGAGAACGGCAAAGCAGACGGTGCGTTTTTTACATTTGATGGAGTAAACGGAGAGATGAGCAATGGAAAGGAGAACGAGGCCAGCCAAGATTATGCCAGGTCAGGTAGCAAAGAAGCAGTCAAGGGAAAAGTTGGGAAAATAGGGTGGGGCTCGATTCTTGGCAGCGTCGCAAAAAACGGCCAGCCTGAAAGTGCAGGGGCTAAGGAGACAAGTTGTCTCGATGATGAGCCTCAGAAACAGGCTCATCCAGGCGCGGCAGCCTTCTCCAAGCGCAAATGGTCCAAATCGAAACTTGTGCTTCCGTCCACGCTACGACGTATCCAGGAGAACAGAGCTCTCTCCACGGAGGAAGCACCTCCAGCCGGGTCTTCTACTCCTGAAAAGGAGACAGTGGATCACAATTCCAACAGCTCGGCTCCTCTGCCAAGGAGACTCTCTAGCAAATGGTCCAAGGAATCCATGGATTCCGTTGATTTTGGAGACGATTATGAGCCAGAGGTTGAGGAAAGTTCTAGTCTCTCGCCAGAAGTCATGGCCTTTGATTCACGCCACTCTGCCGAAAAGAAGCGGCGGATCTTGAAGGACGAAGAAGTCTCCTCCCCGCAGATATTCGGCAAGGAGGCTGAGCCAAAGTTGCTCAGCATCACGGAGCTCATGCTGAAGATAAGCCGCGACAACAAGAGGAAAGAATCGGAGAGCAGAGACAGTCCACAGAAGCTTGATCCACAGAGACTCTCGCCAAACGATGCAGCATCCCTCTCAACCAAACGGAGTCCTGAAGTGGGCAGACTCCGAGCTGTTTCGTTCAATACCAGCCAGGAGTTTGATCTGAAAGGCCATCTGGATTTTCTTGTGTGCGAGGTGGATGAAAGACTGAACTTGGGACGATATGAAACCTGGATGTTACTGAGGTACAGTCAAACTGTTCGGTTTGTTGCTGGTGTTATCTTTGGTATGGTAATTGGTGCACTCTGCCGTATAATCTTCTGAGCAACCCCAGTATCACAGGTATGTTTGTAGTCTTCATTAAAATAACACTTCCAGCAAAATCAGAAAAAAAACAGTAGGTCTACAAGCAAAGTAGTGGTGATACTAGATGTAGATGTTTTGATATAGAGAGCTATTTTTATACAACATATAACACATATGAAAAAAAAAATGGTGCCTTAGGCCAAAAAAAAATAATACTCGTTCTCTGGTCAGCGCGGGCGTCGATTTTAATCATGCGCGTCCACTTTTTTTTTTTCAAATTAACACGGAAGCTACAAATTTTTGTACCAAGGAGCACCAAGGAATGGGGTATTGCACCAAGGCAAATGATTAAGGGCACCAAGGCAAATTATGGAGGACACCAATGTATAATGAGGACACAAAAAAGCAAAATAGTACCCACCTTGTCTGTACAATACAAGCTTGAAAAAAAAAAATTCAAAAAAAAAAAATGCGTCGCCGCATCGATTCCGGAACTTCGGTCTGACCAGAGACCAACTATTTTTTTTGGGGGGGGCCTTAGTTGAGCTTTTTTTTTCAATAGAAAATTGCAGAAAGAAAGTGTCTCAAAACTTGTAGAGTTTCTGTTCATCTGAATAGTGTCTTGAGGGATTTTCTGGATTTCTAGTGATTAGTTGTGAATTAATAAACTACTAATATATGATGCTAAGAATATAAACGTCCACTAAAGTAAGATTTGGCTGAAAGAATTGGGTGACTATTTATTGTACTTTTGGCTTTATTGTATGCAGAAAAAGATAGTATAAAATATATTTAAATGAATATATTGAGTGTACATCCATAATGGATTTACATTTTAAAAACTTTTTTCACGGAGCTGTGAGGCACAGAAATTTGCATGTTGCATATAAAAGATACTAGAAACAATTGTTGCTAGACGGTTATCAAAATGTTTACTGAAGCACTTGAAACTTGTTTTCAGCCGAATTGACCATAAATCCTTTTTTTTCTAAGCTCCTTTGTGAAAAAAATGGACCTTGGTGATGAATTTAATGTTCTTTAGTTAGGGAATAAAATAGGTGCTTGGTTGTTTTTAAACAAGTACTTGTTTAATACAGACCAAGCACATATTTATTCCCATTCATAAATACGTTTCAGTCAAAGAGTCAAAACAAGTCAGAAACTCACAGATTTCCAACGATTTTTTTTTTTCAACAATTTTGCTTCTGGTTTTGTGAAACACCCCTTCGGCCATATCTATGGTATGTGCCTCACTCACGTAGTGCTAAAAATCTCCTTATTTGGAAGATGCGTGCGGCATGTACTGCGCGATGTGGCGCGGAATGCAGGGGTGTTTCAAACCACCCACGTGACAGGCTCTCAACCAATAGGAATGGGTAAACTGTCTCTGGTATTTATGAATGACTAATATAGTAGAAATGTGCTTTTAACACCAAAGTTTATGTATGCAGGAGAGGATATAGATTGCATTTGTAGGTGTAGTTAATACTTTACTTGCCTTAGTCTATGGACTTAGTCTATGTAGATGATGCTTTTGAGATCTCAGTGGACGGGACACTGGTTCATGCTTAGCCCAGGTTGAACGACGTCTTTATTGCATTACGACTGACGTCCAGGGTATAAATTGTACCACAGCGAAAAAAATTATAACACATTTTTTTCATATTTTTACCTGACGGAGGAAGCTGAAATTTTGCTTACATATTCCTTGTGTCCAGAATTGTACCTGCACTGCGTTTAGAAAAGGCAAATATGTCCGTGGGCGGCGTGTTTACCGAAAATAAACCGCAAGTTCTACGCTTTCATTGAAAACATTTTCAGTACGATCTCCCCACGTGAAGACGTACACGCGCGTGCCGTTTGCTGCCGCTTGCTGCCGTGGCAACAGCGTACTAGTCGTGCATGCACGGGCGCGCGTAATCTTCACGCGGGGAGTTCGTACTTACTGTACATTAATATTAGGTTTGGCCCTTCACCGACGTGTAAACGCTGTCACATCCCGAGTGAAAGTTGGAAAATCACTCGGGTGGGACTCGAATCCACGACCTCCTGCTTTCTACTGCAGACGTCTTACCACTCGACCACCGAGCTTGCAGGATCGGTTGACTGGTTCGAATGGGATGTAGATGTAGCGGCGGGTACCGCGATTAAATTTCATAAAATTATGAATAGTTTCATACATGTACATTAAGTTTTGGCAGTGATCAATTCAAAATTGCTATCTAAAATGAAAAATTGTTTTGGATCCTATTTAACAGAAGCATCTAGACAAGTTTATATGTAGTCTCTACTGAAAAAAAATTTAGTACTTTTTCTACCTTTTTGTATTTTTGTACAAGTCAATAATAAAACATAAAAAAATGCAGCTAGCATTTGTGGTATTGTTTGTGTATAATTGTGTTGCATGAATTATTGTAGTCTTATTGTCTCTGTCAGTAAATGATTCATTCTGAAGCAAATTGGTAATTCCTGCATTATGTGTAATGTCTGTAACAGAGCTTTTAAGAGCTCAGTGAATAAACCGGAAAATGGTGGTTTTTTTTTCAAATCTCCTCCATCGGTTATGCAGTAATGGTCAAGGAGATTACAGACTAGGAGTTTTGGATCATTTCTCCAAATCATTAATTAGATATCGTGGTTAATTGACCCTGTTGCGGACATTAAACTGCCTTTCATAACATTGGAATTGCCCAAATGGTAAACCATATATATTTTTTGTCAGAACAGTGTTTGGGTAACGGTGTTGTTTATACTAGTCAATTCACAAGTCAATCAATTTCACAGCTTGTCTGAAAGCTTGTGACTTGACTTAAAATTGGATGGCTTTTGATTGACCTGCGATGAGTTGTGGTGACTTGCGACTCGATTAGGCCAATTGATTAAAAAAACATGTTTAGTGTCCTCCAAAATGGCCGCCCAACCGGGCTATTTTTTAAGATGGCTGCCAGTGTTTTTTTTAATGGCCACCATTGGACTCAGGAAATGTCATACCAGCTTTATATAGGCTAAATGCAACAGACAAAGAGGCCAAAATGATGTCACTGTTTAAAAATTTTCATTTTTTCGGTTAAAAAAAAGAAAAGGAGGCGGCCTCCACAAAGGAAGTGGGTGGATACGCTAAACCTGTTTTTTTTTTATATTTGGCCTTACTACTCAGTTTGGTTAAAAACAAAATAAAAAAATAGAGCGATGGAAAGTGTAGTTGACTTGTGGAATAAGAGCCTAGTATCACGAAACAAATTTGGTCCAGCATGCCCAGTTGTAAATTATTAACTTGTGACTGACGATTGGATGTTGTTTTGACCTAATCCCAGCTTGCTGCCTGGATTGTGGATACCTGCCAAACTGGTAATGTTTTATTTTGATTTGTAGAATAATTTGTTGATTCATATTTTACTCATTCTTAACCTGAAAGTTGAATGAACTGTACTATTGAGTTTTAGTTGCTTAAGTAGGTAGCTGTTGGTTTTAATGTAGAAGCATCTCAATTATTAGTTAATTGTAGATTTACTTCTGTGTTGAATTGCTTTTGGCGGAACTCGTACAAAATTTAACGGAGCCAAGCAAAAGGCTTACCGGTACATCTTGAAAAAGAGAAAAGAAAAATGGGAGACAAGTATGACGAATCAATTTCAAGACGGTTATCAGGGGAAAAGATAGTTTTATTATTATCTGTTTTCACAAAAGAAAATAACTAATTTGTTGCATTAATACTGTACGCTCATTGTTGAAAACCTCACTATCTTACTCAAGTGTTACTCACAATTGATTCCATTTTCCACCATTTCAAGAACATCTGTCCATTACTCCTTTCATTCCATAATCCATCCCCCTTCAGAATCTCCTCCAAAGTTCTCCGTCCATCTCCAAGAGACCTTCATCACCGGGGGCAACGACCTCCAGCTGACCTGCCAGGTCAAGGGTTACCCTCTGCCGTCCCTAGCTTGGTTCCGTGATGACAACGTGCTTGTGGGAAGCAAACGCATCCAAACGACGTCGGACAAGAGAGGTCAGGGATCACTGGTGGTGACGCGGATCGAGGACGAGGAGGCAGGGATGTATAAATGCATCGCTACAAACGATCAAGGGAGTGCCACCAGTTGCGCCAAGGTTACCGTTTTTGGTGAGTATGCTTTTAATAATTGGGTTTTTCCCTTCACTGACGTAATTTCATAAGTGTGGTACACTTGGTGCTGTCTAAGACTTAATAAAAAAAATCACAAGCGTATGTGAGTGGGACTCCAACCCGCAACCTCCTTATTACTAGTACAGACGTAAATCAAACTAGGTTTTGCCCTTCACCGATGTATAAACACTGTATACTCAGTGTGTTACCTCCCGAGTGAAAGTTGGAAAAAATCACTCGGGTGGGACTCGAACCCACGACCTCCTGCTTTCTAGTGCAGACGTCTTACCACTCGACCACTGAACTAACGGGATCGGTTGACTGGTTCAAATCTGATGTACATAGCAGCAGGTACCGCATAACTATTCATATTAAAGATGGAATTTTTGTGTCGGGGTGATGTAAATCAAACTAGGTTTTGCCCTTCACCAACGTATAAACACTGTATACTCAGTGTGTTACCTCCCGAGTGAAAGTTGGAAAAAATCACTCGGTGGTCGAGTGGTAAGACGTCTGCACTAGAAAGCAGGAGGTTGTGGGTTCGAGTCCCACCCGAGTGATTTTTTCCAACTTTTACTCAGGAGGTAACACACTGAGTATACAGTGTTTATACGTCGGTGAAGGGCAAAACCTAGTTTGATTTACATCACCCCGACGCAAAAATTCCATCTTTAATATGAATAGTACAGACGTCTTGGCCACTTGATCACTGAGTCTGAGGGTAAACTAACTGATTCAGGCCTGCTTTCTCACACAGAGATCAAATACCACAATCATTAGATGTTCACTTCACAACAACTATTGATAAAACCATACATTCCCTTGCACTATATAATGGAGTGGGTAAACCTGTACGTTTGCAGATGTCATAACTTGAGTCCAATATGCAGGGGACATTGACGAACCACATTTTTTTTAAGCTGGAGGTGCTTTTAGCACAGGCCCACGAAGCGCTGCGACACGTCGCAACTCGAGTTACGACGTGTAACACGTCGCAACTCGCGACACGTCGTATCATCCATTTCATGAAAGTTGCGATGTGTTGAACGTGTCTTATGTTCCTTGACAACGGCTTAAAACACATCGCAAGTTACGACGTGTCTAGTGGTCATCGCAAAATAAGAAGAGTCATTTTCTAAGCCAGTTTTATGCCATAAACATTACATAAACAAGATTGTAATACCGAGGCAATGTGTGTAAAGTTGTAAATAGAACATTCATTAAATAATTATGAAATAGACTGGATATTGAAGTTGAAATTTCAAAGTAGCTATATACAGTCCACTGAGAGCTTGTTTTCCTTCAAAATTGCATCGCACGGCCGCCATTTTGTTTTACGTTTTGACAAATTTCGAGCTGAGATCTAGATCTGACGACTCTTTGTTGAATATTAGACAACTATTTACTGTACGCTGACTATATAATAAAACAGTCACTGAGTTGTGCTATAAATACACCTACGACGCATCGCACTTACGACGTGTTTCGTGAAATGGATCGCATGACGCGTCGCAGCTGCGAGGCATCGTAGAGATACGACGCGTCGCATTGCTGCGATGCATCGTAAGTTACGAAGAGTTTGATGAAATTGGGTGCTGGCATTGACTTTACATCTGTACAAAATTAATCTGAAGTTGCCAGAGCTCCTCTCAAATCACAGGCCCTAAATGAAACGGGCAAGTCACATTTGAAAATAGAATTTCTCGTTTTGGGCAATCCTTTATGTAAACTGTTTTGATTCCAACCTTGTTGATGTTTCAGAGCGGCCAGACCCCCCATCCAGACCAAAGGTAGCTCTTGCTGCTGCCACTGAGGTGGTTGTGACTTGGAAATTCCCCATCAGTAGAGCCCACATCACTGGCTTCAGATTACAGAGCAGGAAAGAAGGTTAGTTCTAGAATATTACCCTTGATCAGTAGTGCAATAGTCCATCACAAGACTATCACAAGTCAATGACAGGTTTATTCACAAGTCACAAGGAAGAGGGGGTCGGTGAACGATAACAAATTGAAGGAGTGCCTTTGTCACTGGACGCTTGCATCTTGACTTGGGCCTGAATGAGTTGCAATAGACTTCTGATTGACTTGTCAAGTCAATGGTGATGAACTTCAAATATATAGACATTGATAGCACAACCACTGGCAAACCCAAGAGCATTGTCAGTCTCAACAAGAAGTCTGTCAAAATGTTCAGGTCTTTCGTTACTTAGGAGACAACATCAGGTGTGATGAACCAGCAACCGGGGATGCTGAAGTCGACCTACGGATCGCCGTTGCGGAAGGAAAATTTGCTCAGCTTAGATCAAAGCTTAACAACTACATGTACTCGATTTACTTGGATATTTTTTGTTTTAAAAAGATAATGGTTGGCTTTTATCTTCGCTATATGAAATTCTTAACAAGTAGCTGCATTTGACTGTTTTAGATGTTCAAAATCCAATTGACCTGTTTCGTGTCATTGCACAACTTCTGCCATCACAGTCTGTATGCCTTCTTGTTTCTGCCGTGTTAGAGATTAATCCATCTTTTGCACCCACAGAATTTACTTTCATATAGTACAATACATGTTGGTAAACAATCTACATTGTTTTTTTGTTTTTTTGGCCTCACAGATGATAAACAGTGGGTTAATGTGGATGACAAGATCCAGCAGTGCTTCAAGCACATCACACCATTGCTTCCATCTACCGAGTACCGGTTTCGTGTGGCGTGTTGCACGCAGCATGGCATTGGTTTGTACAGTCGATCATCGGTCCCAGTGACGACATTACCCATAGGTGAGCTATCACTGATTACGTAAGGAACCCAACTCAGATAAAAACAGGAAAAGTACACTTTTTGATGCTTATTATTCTGATTTATAAAACACAGAATCTATTCAGAAAAATATGGATCAGTCAAATGTAAATAAACATACGTGTAAAACAATCCACATTAGGTTGCACAAAGGAATTGACGAACAAATTTGAACAGGTTCGTGAAGTCAAGAATACTGTGGGCTCAGTGCACAAGTACCCCCTCAACTGCAAGACAGGGAAAGTTTGGGAGACCACTGGGAGAAACATTCGAACGCAATGCCGATGACGCCTGACGCTCACGCGAATACCGACGACACTTTGTGCACATTTAGAATAGAATTCCAATGTAGCTGTGCGTACTTTGCGTTATACGCACGCAAATCAGTATGTACGTGTTCTACATAACCCCCGAGGACCGACACACAAAGGGAGAACAACAGATCCTTTCAGTCCTCGGGAGTTGGGTCTTTTGTTGGAAACGGTCCGCTGTAGTAAGTTTGTGTGCTTAGTCTATGGGAGAGTGTTATATTACAGGGATAAAGGGAAACACAAAGCATTGTCCTCGAGAGTATAGTAACACAAGAGTGTATGCGCACGTGGTGTGTCCTGTACATGGGGCTCTTGTAGGTGGTAAATAAGCGCCCTCTCTTGTTCGTACACGGAGCCCTTACCGGCGTGATGAAAAAAAACCAAATTATAACTTGGGACACCACCAACAATTACATCCCTCAGTTAGTGGAGCACTGGTACAAGTATTCTAAAGTTTAGAAGTTCAAATCCCTCAACAGATCATTTCTTTTATATTCAACGTAACACTGTTAAAACTAAAGATAGTCAGTTTCCCCATGTGGTTTGTTTGAGTTTCTGATAAATGACAAGAAATTTTGAATTGCACTGCCTTTAAATAAATCTTCATTTATTATTTCACCCTCTCTCTTTGAAACCTCTTTTTTCCCCATGGACAAAACACCTCTACTGCTCTTGCAAAATATGCATGGGCGTCGCGAGGGGGGGGGGCAAGGGGGGCATTTGCCCCCCCCCCCCCCCACTGAAAACCACACCAAAAAAAAAAAAAAAAGGAAGAAAAGAAAAGAAAAAAAAAAAGAAAAGAAAAGAGGCGCGAAGACAAAGTGGTGTAAATTTAAATAGTTGGGGGGGGGCAAAATGTCCCTGCCCCCCTCTAAAACTGATAAATCGAGAATGTGTTGAGAAATACAAGAATTTGTTTGGATTCTAGATGCTCTGTGGTGCGATCTGAGGCAATTTCTGACCACTTTAACCAATGTTTTTTTAGGAAAAGATGGTGGTGTACTCATTGCCTGCCTTTATTGCGATGTCACATAAAAAAAAAAAAATTGGTTTCGTTTTTTTATTGGGGGGGGGGGCTATGGCCCCCTTTAGCCCCCCTGGATCCGCCCTTGGAAAAATGTTCAGCAAGCTATGCCTGCCTGTCTCCTATCCAGTAACTACTTCTTCCCTCTTCCCTCAAAATTTGTTCACAAATTATTTTGAAGATCTTGGTTTTTTCCTAATAACTACATCATTTTAATGTTGAACTATGTGGTAATCTATTCTCCTCAGGTTCACAGCCTCTTAGCATAGAAGCAATCGCAAAATTCCAGACGTTATCAAGAAGTTGCAGTCTAGATCGAGATCGCAAATCTGCCTCGCAGGGGAGCATACTAGACAACTTCCCCGATGGAGACATCGAAGAAACGGTGGATTTGACTCTCAAGGAAAGCTTGCCACAAAAAGGTTACGACTTCAACATTGAAATTGGCCGGTAGGTGATTGTTGATTTGCTGTAAAGTTAGTTTTAATCAATATTTCTTGTTTGGTCTCATTTTTTGACAAAACTAAAGGTGTGTTTGAATCTTGTGATCTTAACAATGACTTGGGTTCTGGCTGTTTGGAAATACTGCTGGAAGAATCTATTTCTGAAGACAAAAATGCTGGATTTCAACACTGACAGAAGTTTTGGGGATGAAACTAAAAAAAAACAAGCGCGATTACACAATAAGCTCTGGCCCGGTTTGAGAATGTCTCACTTCATATGCAAAATAGATGCGCATCGATCGAAACAAAGCCGGTCTTCCGAAAATTTTTGGCAAGAGTGCATTTGACCACAGCAGGCATTTGTGATGCAATCAAGCTACATGAGTCGTTTGTCGGGAATTTTCAATTGGAGATACAGGCCAAAATTCAGGCCACTTCATCACATCACTTCATCACATTTCTTGGTGTTCCAACTTCCATAATTTTTTAACTAAAGATGGTATCAGCTTGCGGTTTCCACAGCAGTAATGATAAGATTGTGCTCTTTTCGAATTTGTAATAATTTTTGTTTTGACCGGGGTCGACAAACGTCTCATTTAGCTTGATCGCATCACATTTGGTCAATTTTTGGTCAAATATTTTTGGTCAATTTTTGGGTACAGTCAGACAGACAGACCGACCGACCGACCGACTACCAAGTGACATTTAGAAGCTCCTGCCAGAGTTTAAAAAAAAGATATGCCATGCAGTTTTCTCAAAGAATTAAATTTTGATGAAACATGATGAACACAATCAAGAAAAAAATGGAAATCACTTGAAATTCATGTTGAAAAGCAATCAGTTTCTAGAGAAAATTTATCACTTTAAAGGGAATATACATGATTGGCATTTGCTGTAATTTTCAGAAATGAACTATTTGAGGGGTTAGTATAATAGATCAAATATTGTTAGACTGACATGTTTGAAGGTTTGTGTTCGAAAATGCTGGAAAAAAACAAGAAAAACAAAAATGTTCAAGTAGTCTGGTTCCCTGACTCCACTAAATATAAAATGGATCAATTTACAGATGCCGGAAACTTGTAAGGTAATGGAACTAGTCTAGCCAGCCTGCACCCGTTCATGAACATGTAACCAATAGCAAACACAATTTGGACTGAAAGAAAAATGGTTAATTTGGAACAGTAGTTGAAAAATTGTTAGGTTTTTTCAACGGTGGTCGGCCGACCACCTTTGGAAATTTTTACAAAAATACCATTTTCTTGAAAATGACTTCACACCAGGTGCCATAATTTTACAGGATGTTTTAGACTGTCATTTACCAACATCCTAGTAAGGTATTTCGTAAAAACTAGGTAGTTTTTTTTTCGATGTTTGCAAATGTTGTATATTCCCTTTAACTTCCATGGTATGAATTCTAGTATGCAAATCACATGAATGGAACAGGCCTTGGTGCATTGTAGTGGACATTGGCTGTTTAGAATTGAAAATAAAGTTGTTTATCTGATCTGTTCTTTCAATTCCAGAGGCAGATATGCTGTAGTGCGTAAATGCTACAAGTACAGCACGGGATTGGAACACGTCGCAAAGATCATGCTCTCGGCCCAACCTCTCAAGAAACAAAGTCTCCTCGAGTATGAAATCTTGAAAGAAGTTAGGCATCCAAACATTCTACAACTCCGCGACGCTTTCCTGACGAAACGGTTCTACGTACTAGTGACCGAGCGTTACTATGGCGGCGGAGTCTTGAGTCACCTGACCCAGAAGGACAAATACTCGGAGGAACAGATCGTGCGATTGGTGCGACAGCTTCTGAGCGTGCTCAGTTACCTGCACAAGAGGCGAATCGTTCACCTGGATATGAGACACGACAATATTGTCTTTGAGAGTAGGAGGAGGGACGCGCTGCGGGTGATTGACTTTGGGTCGGCTAGGAGGATGGTATCGGAAGAGGGGATGAAGATGAAGGGGTTAGACTCTCCGCCAGAATTCATGGGTAAAGATTTCTGTTGATTTCAATTTTTTTTATTTTATTTTATTATATTTTTATTTATTTCTGGTAAAGAAACCAAGGATTCCTCAAAAGTGCCCTAAGCACTGTAGCCCGAAAGCCTGATGAAACCTGTAGAGAGGACAATGAGAAGAAATTACAGTTTTAGAGGTGGGAGGAAAAGCCCAGAAGAATATTCTGGGGAAAACCCACGGAATCAGGTAGGGACTGAAAACCCAATCCACATATTGGCCCAGGCGGGATTCGAACCCGGGTCACAGCGGTGGAAGGCGAGTAAAGTACCGCTACGCCAACCTGACTCCCCCTACGCCAACCTGACTCCCCAAGGCAAATTCGTTGCCTTGGAAAAGAAAGTCCTTGATTTGCCACTTGTTGGGTCGTTGTGCTATGAAGGTTTTATCTCAGTGCCACGTTCATGGCGATGCTGTGATGGTGTCGTTTTTATCTGTGTTTTTGTAGCTCCTGAAATAGCTACTGATGGGTTGATTGAGTATGAGACGGACCTCTGGGCTGTTGGTGTCACGATATTTGTCTGGTAAGTCCAATCATGGACTATTCTATTCTATTATAGACTATTCTATTAACTATCACAAACTGTCAAAAACTCTAACCCCACCTCTCTGGACAGTTTTTTGTACAGGCTGCTGTTCAACTGCCACAAATCCCTATGGATTCAACTGTGCAACTTATATCAGAGCTAAAGATATAGTCCATCATTTGTAATTTGTGCATTTTGTTCGTTTGAAGCAACAAAAGTGCTCAAAATCTAAAGAAAATGAACAACTGAACAACTAACCTGATGAAGTTTCAGTTCAGCTTCAGCTGTATATTCCGAGAAGAACAATATTCTAGGATCTCAATTTCAAATCAAAATTGCTGAATCATGTTTTGAATTGGGCCTGAATTCAGCGTCTGAGACACGTTCTCACTGAGCCGTTTGCAGCATGTCGCGCACTGATCCGGCCATAGATATAGAATAAAAAGACAGCAACCGCGCGTGCGTGTGCGTCGTGCCAATGCTTGCGCGCGCTTCGCCGAATAACAAAACGAACTACAAATTTAAATTTCCTACGGTGTGTCCTAAGAAGCACCATTGGAAAGGCCTTCTTTCGTTGATTACTTCAAAATGACAGCTTGCCAGAAAGAATAATTTCACAGGGAGTTTAGTCCCCTTATTATCTTTCAACCAAGTATGTTTTGCAACAATAATTACGCCAGTTACTTTTCGGATAGCTGCAAATGATGGACTATAGCTATAAGTGGTTTGGCAGATAGTATGACCACTAATACAAGTACAGCTTGTGTAGCAGCCATTTTAAAATGGTTGATTGTACCAATGTGAGGGCAGTTTGCAGATTCGGTAAAATCTGTCACCTGATAGTATTTGACATGTAGGGTAACGCTCTACAGATTGTCACTGAGCACAGGAGGGTTATGCCTTTAAACCCTCCAAAACCTTCTGATGGATCTTTAAGGATCTTGGAGGGTTAGGCCAAAAAAAAAATACTTGGTCTTGGGTCAGCGTGTGCATCGATTTTAATCATGCGCGTCAACCTTTTTTTTTTTCAAATTAACACGGAAGCTGCAATAGCGCCCTCTATTGCCGCACCTCCTCAAATTTTTGTACCAAGGAGCATCAAGGAATGGGGGAAGTTACACCAAGGCAAATGATAAAGGGCACCAAGGCAAATTATGGAGGACACCAATGTATAAATAGGACACAAACAAGCAAAATAGTACCCACCTTGTCTGTACAATTCAAGCTTGAAAAAAAAAAAGCCACCAAAAAAAACCCCCCAAAAAACGCGTCGCCGCATCAATTCCGGAACTTCGGTCTGACCAGAGACCGACTATTTTTTTTTTGGCCTTAGTGTCAAGACAGTCAAGTCTGTGTTAGATTATTAGTCACCTCTATACGATTCAAGTTTTGTAGTTCTTTGGAGATCACTTGTACAGGTCACTTGTGGCTCTGCCCGGGAAAACAAGGCAAACGATGAATTACAAGAATCCATCCTGCATCCTTTTGTTTCCCTTGCCAGGCTGAGTGGAACCTCTCCATTTCTCGGTCGGAATCGAGAGAAGACGATCTACAACATCACCAGGATGAAGATCAACAGGAAACATCTCTTCAAGAATTGCACAGCGGAGGCCAAGCAGTTTATATGGGCAATACTGCAGAAAGAACCGATGTAAGATTATTAAATTGAAAGTTGTCGTTTGGGACCGTGGTTTTACAGATGAGGAGAGATCAATTGAGAATTTAAAGGCAGGCTTTCAAGTATTCCTAGTTTTTCTGCTTTTTCCTAGTTTCCTTGTTCCTACGTTTCCTACTTTTTTTTCTCTTGAAATTCCTACTTTTTCCTACTTTTTTTCCCCACGACTCAAAAAAATGAAATCTCATTGAATATTTTTCATAACTATGTTACACGCTGTCATATGTAAATCACACAATGAAGGGCTTGGGCACAGGAGTACTGCAACTGTACTTCTAAGAGCTTAGTTGAGGATGGAGCACAAGTGTTGAGAGTACAGAACATGCCAAATGAGGCTTATGATGCTGCGGACATGGGTGAGTATCAACGAAAACTACTACTGAAAGCCCGCAAAAGTCCTACTTTTATCCTGATTTTGTCCTCCAATATCCTACTTTTTGGAAAGTTTTGATCCTACCGTTGTCCTACTTTTTCACCTGGGACTGCTTGAAAGCCTGTAAAGGAAATAGTCACCAAACACAAGAGCAAGAAATTCAAGTTATTGTTGATAAAGATATAACTATTATCTATCTTTAAAGGTATAGTCCATCATTTGTAATTTGTGCATTTTGTTCGTTTGAAGCAACAAAAGTGCTCAGAATCTAAAGAAGGGTGCTGAACAACTAACCTGATGAAGTTTCAGCTCAGCTTCAGCTGTATATTTCGAGAAAAACAACATTCTAGGATCTCGATTTCAAATCAAAAGTTGCTGAATCATGTTTTGAATTGGGCCTGAATTCAGCGTCCCAGACACGTTCTCACTTGCCGATTGCAGCTACGCGATGTTGCGCACTGATCCGACGAATTATAGCAACTGCGCTCGCGTGTGTCGTGTCAATGCTTGCGCGTTTTGCCGAATAACAAAATGAAATACTAATTTGAATTGCCTACGGTGCTTCTTAAGACGCACCGTTGGAAAGGCCTTCTTTCGTTGATTTCTTCAAAATGACAGCTTGCCATAAAGAATTATTTCACAGGGAGTTTAGTCCCCTTACTATCTGTCAACTTAGTATGTTTTTCAACAATAATTACGCCGGTTACTTTTTGGATAGCTGCAAATGATGGACTCTGGCTTTAAATAAAGGCCAAGTATTTTTTTTAAGGGGATGAGGCTACAGAGAACTTTAAGTTGGAGCCTCTATCTTTCAAGAACTGCTTCGCGCCAAACCAAATATAACCATTGCTCGTAGTGAGCTTCTTAATTACTTTACCCTCCGTTTTGTGGATGTGCTCTGGGCCGTGTCCCATCAATCCCATCAAAAATGCAAATCATAAAGTTAGAGCGCCAGATGTTTGGATACTAGCAGGATCTTTCTCAAAGGCTGAAACGTGAGGTTCTGTAACTTTTACAATTTATCCAATTAATCCCTCGTGGTGTGTCCCTGATTTGTTCTGCTCTTTGTACGTTCTTCTACTCCTTTCCCTGGTCTGTCCCCTACATGTTTGTTTCTTGTTCCTCTGCCATTTTGCCTCTGAAGATCTTGTAAAGATCGCAACGTCAGGTCGCCTTAATTTTTGAGATTTGTATATTTCAGGTCAATCCAGTCAGAAAGCAGTTTGCAGCAATCTTATTCATTTTCACTTTTACAATTTGTATGTTTCAGGATAATTCAGCAAGTTAGCAGTTTTGAACACTTTTTTTTTTTAATTTCGTGTCCAAAATTCAGATTGTAATTCTGACAGTTCTATTCTCTTACCTCAGTGACAGGCCATCAGTTGACGAGTGTTTTGCCAGTCCGTGGCTCAGCGACAAGCCCGACATGAAAGCCAAGCGTGAGGGCGCTGTCTTCTCCTCCAGGAAGCTCAGAACGCAGCGTACGGAGTACAAGCTTCGCCTACTGGCCCAGCAGACCCGAGAAGACATGTCGCTGAGACGGTACTCCTCGACGATAGAGCTGAAATCACCCGGAGCGCCGACGTCACCCAAACCGAGGAACGGTGTCCTAAACTCGTTGGTACGTCCAAAGGTTCAGGTTAAATGAGAATTGTGATCATGTGACGTTGGCCTCATGGTCTGGCTGCAGTCACATGACAGGAATGCCATTGTGGCACCTGACACTAGGGCCGTGTCTGAATCTCCTGTCCAGAGCTATTCTGTAGTTCCCGGTCAATAATAACTTTCCGGGAACATGCTGACATGAGACATAGCCATATATGGAGCCTATTTCTGACAGCCTAACTTCCTGGCCAATTTTTTGCTTTGGACATATTCTCTATACTGAGCTTGGGACTTCAAGCCCACACATGTTAAGAAATGGTGGCTGACTTTTTAAGTCTTGTATCCATCAGAATATAGCAAAACCGGCAAAACCAGGGCCCAATTTCATAGCGCTGCGAAACAAAAAAAGCAGAAAAATTGTGCTGTCAAGTACTATTTCATAGCGTGGATGTGCTAACGTATGCATGCGCATGGAGATTTCTGTTGTTACATCACTGATTCAAGCATCTTTTTCCTCTGAGGTAAGCGTGCCTTTTGCTGTGCTTACTGCTTACAGTCTCCATGTAACAGACGATGGCTCTGTTAGCAGAAAACTGGACCCAGGTGTTGGAGCTTATCGTGGCTTCGGAACTATTTGGAATAAATATTTTGCAGTGAGTCAAACTTTTCCCTCTATTTTCCAAGATGGTTGCTGTATTTAGTAGTGAATCCACCTAGTAGGTTTTGCTTGCATTCTTTGGAAGAATATAATGATTATTGTAATAAAAAATATTGAAAATCAGCAAAACAAAGAATTTAATGGTAAAACAGAAATTTGCAGTTAAAGAAAATATGTATGATAGAGGCATCTTATTCTACACATTGCGGCTAATAAGCATTTGAAAGGATCAAAGGCAGATAATATTATTTGCATTAATCCCAAAAGTAACCTACCAAATTATTATCCAAAAGCTTACTTGGAATAAAGATCACACTGGTACTAAACACCCCGTGAAATCATTCCATCTGGCTTGCTGTCACTTAGAAGAAATCAAGAAATGTAGGTGATTTCAAGAAATGTAGCTTACATCAGTCAATTGACTGATTTTGGGAAACAAAGAGTGCTGTTGACGAATTTTTTTTTTGTGATCAAAAGGTTAGGTTTTGAACTTCAACAGGTTAGGTTTTGAACATTCATCTTTGGATTTTGAGTGGTGTTACTTTTGGAAACGAAACGAAGAAAATGTATGAAAAACAAATGATCCTATTTGCCATTAATCATACTTGGTTCAGGAATTGAAGGGTGTTAGAACCACGTATGGGCGGGTTGCAATTCGTGGGTTTAAATCAAGTCATGTAATTAGTTATGACAAGTCATCAGAAGTCAATCACAACCATAGAGCTATTACTAAATAACTAGAGCGCTAACTCCTCATTCCGCCGGGGAGATACTTTGAAGCCATCCTGAGCACAGGCATTTTGAATTCATGTGCATGTTTGTAGAACGTAATGGATTAGATGGAAGGCATTCAGAATAATGTGCTCTAAATGCAACGCACAAGTGCAGCAATTTTTTTTCAGTCTGCAGCACATACGCACACACATTTGCGTTGTTTACGCAGAGCAAAATGAAACACTCATTTACTGATTGCGCATTTCGGTTTTTGGGCGCATCGGCTTCGACAACGCACCGGTGTAGAATACAAATGCATAATGCAAATAGCCCTACTAAAGCTGTACTGAATTTCAAGTTTTCCCATGTTTCAAGTTTTCCCATTTGCGCACAAACATGGACACGCCCACCAGGCTTCACTTTGTACTGCGAGTTAGCGCTCTAATAATTTAATATAGCACTTTGATCACAACTTATGAAGTCACAGATCAATCAAAAGTCGTTCAGTCATCACCAAGCTATTCAAATGAATTGTGGCAAAGTTACTCCTTTGTTATTTTTTATACCCTATACTATTATCACCTTATTTGTGAATAGTGATTGACCTTGATTCAACTCTTGTGGTGTATATGACAAAATCACACTGATCCTGCGGTTGCAAACTGTATGCATGAAAAATTTGCAAAAAATATGTTTTCGACATATCCTCATAGTATGTTTAACTCTCTGTGTATAGTGAACAGATATATCAATATCGATCAACTCCACAATTCCAAATGGCTTATGCATGTTGGCTCGGTGTTCATTGCACATTTTCAGTCGTCTTTTCTTTGAAAGAATTTTGATAATTGAAGAGTTAAGAGAATACCCAAATGTAAATGGAATTAGCACAAGGTGTCTTCACTTGAAAGAAGTTTTTGCACTTTCACTGCCGAGCTGGAGATATGGTACAGAATCTTGACTTTAGAGGATGTCATTTTTCTGTTTTGATTTAGATTTTTAAGTTTATTATTTTACGTACATCTAGATAGTTTAGTATGTTGGGGGGGGGTAATTATTGGAAATACAGAAAGAAAAATGACTTTAATTTTCAGAAACAACAGAGCACGAAACCTGCTCTATTTTGAAAACATCTTTAGGTTTGATGACTTACTTTGTTGATTTTTGATTATAACATAAAAAGTGTTCCTAAATTCATTAAAAAAAGTATTCGTAAATGCAATAATCTTTAATCACATGATACAAAATATGCAAACAAAATCTGTATGTAATTACTGATTGACAAAGATATGTTATATATAAATCTACTGAATGTTACATAATGATATAAATTCCGCATAATTATTGTAAATGATTTCATGAGTGCTTATACATTACCATCAATGTAGAAGTAATGTAATTAAAACGTTGTAGGGAGTGATTTTGTTACCCTCAACACCCACTGCTCACAATGACTATAATCGCACATTGGTTCTCCTCGCTTGTAAAATAAAATGGCTGTTTTCATCGCCTCAAATGCCTGCTTTGACGGCAATTATCCTGTAGAGCGCTTCCATCGACAAATTGATAAGTCTGCCATTCTATTTCCCGACAATACATTTATGGAATATCCCCTTGCACAGCAAGGGTCTATGATTTGTGAGCAGATTCGGCAATTAATTATTCAAAACAAGACTACGTCTTGACCTTGAGATTCTGACCGTTTAGCAGGCGCCTTCTATCAGGTCTTCCGTAACCCGTTGTATTACGAGTCTTCCGTAACCCGTTTTTGCAATACCAAAACATGTCAGCTAAGTTGACCAATCAACAGCTTAGTCCACATTTCTGATTGAAATGACGTCACAATTTCTAAAGTCAACTTCGATTGGCTGGCACGCAAGGTCGCATACAATTTGCATTGCTCACATATATCAGCCGTTGGTTACGGCGAGGGCTCTGTTGGTCAACGGATGATACTCAGAGTATTTACAACCTTGCCAATATTAAAAACTTACAAAAGTCAAGTTTGGGGGTGGGGAACCTTGTGAGCGATAATGGACCGACCCAGTAGGCCCCACCCACTGCGCACGTGGGCAATTTAACACGTGCTCCTCTCCAATGCCACACTGTATTTTCCTGCCACGCGCATCATACGCGCGTGCACGCATGTCAGACTTTTGTGCACGCACGTCGGACCTAAATCACAGCTGTGATCGGTCAGAATACCATGGGGCGGTGCTTACTGGATGGTCCATTGGGAGACAAAAGGATGAAATATTCAACTTTACGCTGATTTAACACTAAAATGCAGGTGGCCCCAGCATGACATCGGGAAGATATGTAACAAAATATGTAGATGTTCACATCAGTTACAAGAATTAAATAGAAACAGTGTAACCGACATTGAGATGTTTATTTTATTTCTGATGTGTGTTCAATTCAGTGCTTTACATGATCTTTGGTTAAGTTTGTTGCTTGTAGTGTGCAATTCCTTATGCTGTAGATATTCCTGTCAATCTCCATTTATTTATTAGAATGGATACTTGACATTACAAACTGATTGTTTGCAATAAAGACATCAACAGGTTGTGTGCTAACAAAAGTAAGTTGTGGACAATGATTTGTGTTGAGTTTTTTTGTTATATATTCTATCAAGTTCAAAACCAGATCAGACTTTCACATGTGCAGAACCACACTATGAACTGCCATGTACAACATGTAAAACAAATCACTAAATCACAATCTTGACGTTCGATATAAAAGAATCACATTTGATAACTCAACCTAAAATAGTCGTTCGGTCTCTTATGTCCGCCCTCTCTAACCTTTAAACGGATATACCTGGCAAAGAGTATTCATGCTTTAAGTGCAGTTTAAGCCATACAAATTACAAGTCACAAGAGAAGTGCCACTTAATGGGAAAGTGCCATTTCTATTTCGTAAATTGCACGTTGTAAATAACCAAGCTGGCTCTGTCCGTATTTTTTGCTACATTTTTGGGTGTCGGAGCAGGGGGGTGTGGGGTTTCGCATTATTTTTCATGAATTTCTATGGAAAAAAACAATTGTTTGACAGAGCTGGGTTTTTTGTTAACACCCCCCCCCCCGGATTCGCGCCTGGTTCCTATTTAAAACTTGTAGCTGAGGTGTGTAATATTTTGTAATTAAGAACGTGTGGAAAGAACATGATCTCTGCTTTCATGCATCATACGTAAGCACTGTATTTTCGTCTTTAGCGATATTCTTGACCAGACAAACAATCTAACCGCCGCTCCAAGCACTCAGCCAGCACGGTGTGCTAAAAGCGGTAAGCTTGCAGCAGACGACACTCGACTACGTTTCAATTGGGTGGCCAACAACACGTGGGAAAACGTTTCGTTCGCACATGGTCAAAATCCGCTATTGGGCACACGCCCTTCACACATGTTGTACGTCCGTGCGGTTGTAAATCCGAACATTGCTCCATGATTGTGCAACGAATAATTTCATTTTTACAGAAAACTGTTTCAGTGAAAGCATTGGCTTTGCTTCGTCATCGTGGCTCCAAGATGGAGCAACTTCTGGTAAGGTGTGTGGAGGGAGAAGAATTCATGACACTCTCATACAGTTACGGTGACAAACAGAGCAACATGCTGCGCTCGAAAATGGAAACTGCCGAGAAGTCCCTATCGCGATTAGAAAACAACGTCCGGAAACTGGGCAGGCCTAAGAAGAAGAATAAAAAGATGAAGTGCGATCAAACGTCGGATGCAGCAAGTCAGTCTACTGAAGATGCCCCAATACTTTGTTCTCTGTTTGTTAATGGGAGCCAAGTTGGTTCCGATGTCTTGAATAAAGACGCATGGGTCGACGGTGCCATTTTACATTTAGGCGTGGCAAAGTACCGCGTTTGTCGTAATGTGCCTACAATTGTGAGCATAAAACTGCCAAACTGCATTTTAGTAGGTTGTCCCATTTACCCGCGGGTGGAGTTTGAGTTCACAAAGACTGATGCCTGTACATATGCATGGTATCGAGAAGTTCGGCAAGAGTTGGGCGGAACACCGCAGATAAGCATCGGTCCAAGTAGGACGTTTTCGTTATCGAATGATGGAGGTTCTTGCCCATCTGTTCCCATGGAAACCAATGCAGCTGACACAGCGATCCAGATTCCCATTGTGATAAGCCCCTCCCTGACATCGCAAATCAAAGGATATCAAAAACATTGGGTAGAAGTGTCCAAAGAAAAAGTGTACACACCTCAGGCTTCTGAACTGGGTGGCCATTTGAAGTTGGTCTGTATGCCGAGTGACGGGGAAAGATTGGGGACCTCTAAGGAAGTTGTGACGGCTTGCGATGTGAAGATGGCACCAGATGCTTTCCCATTTGAGAGAAGACATGAATACACCAAAGATAAAACATCCAGTAACAGGCAAGTCCCCCAAAAAATGGTAATCGTGTAGTTTAGGACACCTCTTATGTTTCACAAGTTCTATTGTGTTGATAAATCAAAACCCTGGGAAAGATTTCCATATAAGAAGTTCACTAATTTTCCTCTGTGTTGACTAACAAGCCCCCAGATAGCAATTTCATGTCATCATCAATTTGAGCAGTGAGAAAATACAAGCATTTTCTTAGAAAACACTTAGAATTTTTCAGTCCACTCTCATAGGGTTTGTACACAGGGTGTTGAGTGAACTTCTTATATGGAAATCTTTCCAAACCCTGCCCTCTTTCCACATAATGAAGCTAGCTGATATTGAACATGGTATCTTAGGGAACTATTCAGATGATTCAAAACACATCAAATTACTTTTCCTGCTTGTATTAGCCTATAACCAAATGCTTAGGTACTATTATGTCCCACAAAAACAGAAGTGTCTTTTCGTTCTCTTAATAGAAAACGGGATCCTAAACTACACGATTACCAAAAAAGGTTCAGATAATAAATTACGGAAGAAATCAAAATTGTAAATTCATGGTCTACTCCATCTCAAGTCAAAGTAATGGGAGATAAAATACCCCCCCCCCCCCCCAAAGAAGTCTTCGCCGAAGTATATATCAATAGCTCATTACTTAACTTTACTCTTTAGGCTTTAAATGACAATTTTGCTGGGGTCAAACTTTTTAATGTGTTACTGAATGCGTTTCAGTTTCAGAGTTGTAAGCTACAATATTCTGGCAGACATGTACGCCGACTCGGATTTCTCGCGAGATGTACTCTATCCATACTGCCCTAAAGACGTGCTGGATATCGACTACAGAGAGCAGCTTATCCTGAAGGAACTCACAGGTGACAACAGTTGTCAATGCACTGATTACAGTGTTAAACTTGTTGAGAATTTGGTCTCCCATAAGGCCATAACTATGGATTGAGGCTGGAAAAATACAAGATTAGGCCAGTTTTCAGTTTCGTTTAAGAAACTGAAAACTGGCCTAATTTTGTATTTTTGGGGAAACAATGTAGTATTCAGACGCCACTTAACCCTTACCCTACTTGACCCTCCAATGCATGCCAATATGTGCCTCAAGAAAATCTCCTATGTTTTTTGCATGGCCCTCCAATATCTGCCATGTCATTTCAAGGGTAACTGGACAGGCATTCCAATACATGCCACAGAGAACAATGAGAGTCCTCTGATAACAAAGTGAGTGCCCCCAGCTGGTCAGTATCAGGCACCCTCCAGGGCCTCCAACTCCTGCCAATTGGAGCCTTCACTGCTACATAGAAGTATCCTCCAATAAACTGCAGCTGGAGGGCATTGGCATAACCAACTGACATGCAGTAAACTACCCTCAGAGAGTAAGGGTTAAAGGGAATATACAACATTTGCAAACATCGAAAAATAAAACTACCATTTTTTTATGAAATACCTTACTAGGATGTTGGTAAATGACAGTCTAAAGCATCCTGTAAAATAAGGGCACCTGGTGTTGTCATTTTCAAGAAAAGTGGTATTTTTGTATAAATTTCCAACGGTGGTCGACCGACCACTTTTCAACTACTGCTCCAAAGTTACCATTTTTTCAGTCCAAATTTTGTTTGCTATTGGTTACATGTTCATGAACGGGTGCAGGCCAGCTAGACTGGTTCCCAGGGAACCAGACTACTTGAACATTTTTGGTTTTTCTTGGTCTTTCCAGCATTTTCGAACACAAAACTTCAAACATGTCAGTGTAACAATATTTGATCTATTATACTAACCCCTCAAAATAGTTTATTTCTGAAAATTACAGCAAAAGCCAATGATGTACATTCCCTTTAAGCGTTGTGTGCAAAGTCTATGGAGAGTCAAGAACATTTTGTTAAACTATTTCCTAACAAAATTGGAAATGTTTCTCAGTTCCTGTTTCGTGTCTTTTCAACATTTTTGCAGTGACTGACCATTATTGAGATATATGAAGAAAAACATGGAGTCAGGATGCAACACTCTTGCCATATTTGGTCGCCAGAAAATACAAACTTTTGAATGATAGTTTGAAGGGAAAAAAAGAAGACCTTTTTCCTATAAATAAGAAACAAATTTGTGTTTTTGAATTACATGTATGCTTGATGGTGATGAATTTCTTTTTGATCAAAGGAAATTGCAAAGCTTCAGAAGTGGAGTATGAGTTCCATCGATGAAAATGGAAACTCCGGTAATGAATTTCTTTTTTGCTTTTGTCCTGTTTTATCAGGTTACAATGCAGACATTTTGTGTCTTCAGGAGGTGGGCAGGAAGCTATTTGAATGCTCCCTGGTTCCTTCTCTCAAGACATCAGGCCTGGATGGTCTCCTGCGATGCAAACACGGCAACATGGCAGAGGGAGAAGCTGTCTTCTACCGGACCGACAAATTCAGGTTGGGATGGGGGAATTCCCTGTGATTCATGTCAGGGGCAAAATTCACGGGCCTACTATAAGCAGTCAAATTTGACGAAGACGGAACAGTTCGGCTTGGCAAAACATTTGTTTCCAGTAGCATTGCCAGCCAGTATCTCATGCTAAGTGTATTGCTGATTCTTGCTGAAGAAATTGTTCTATTGGGGCCGTATCATAAGTCCGACGCCTCATAGGTCCGACGCCTCATAAGTCCGAAAGGCGTCGGACTTATGAGGCATAAAATTTATTTATTCCGCCTCATAGGTCCGACGCCTCATAAGTCCGACAACGGAAAAACGAGGCGTTTAATTTGTCTAATCCGGTTCGTCAGTAAAAACGTCATTCACGGGCGCCCACCACTGATTACTAGTGCCCATTGGCTACAAACGCTCCAGCTGCGTTAACTTCCGGTTCCAATCGTGCAGAAAGTGATGGAGGTGACGTCACACTAACGAACCGGATAACGCTATTAAATCCCGCGTGCCTTTTGTACACACACACAAAGTCTGTGAAGTCAGTGGAGGTGGACGGTGTGTTATCTTGAATTGGCCGTTGTGCACGGCCTATTGTTGTACGGTCTTTTGTTGAACAATTAACGCTCCAGTGCACACCCCAGAGTATTGAAACATATGAGGTTTCGGCAAGAAATATTGTACAAATACCGTTGAAATGACTCTTGCGAATCAGTATTTGTGGCGTTTGTCTGTATATCAAAAGTTGGCTGGAAAATTTTGCCTTTTGCGAAAATCGAAATTTTAGGCAAAGATAATCCCGTCGCGAAGTGGTTAAACCTAGTTAGATAGACATTCCATTGGCACCATTGATTTTGAAGTCTATATGGTTTCGTTCCCCTATTTCTAACCCTTGTCAAGCTTTATGGGAATGGAGCGTTGAAGTCGAAGAGACACCAACCACCACAAATTCTCAAAATCCAAGAAGCGATTTTGCATAATTTTGGAGAATTGATATTTGTACAGCTCAAATGACACCACAACAATTAATTGAATGCCTATGCAAAAGGAGGCAAACAGTGGAAAGAATTTTCTGAAAATTGATGTCTTGTTTGTTTTCTTAGGTTACTTGGCAGTCACGATGTAGCATTCTGTGAGGCAATAGAGAAGGACCCATTGCACAGAAATATCCTTGAGGCCGTCGTCCGTAGTGAGGCCATGTTCAAGAGGTTTCTAGGCTTGGCTGCTATCGTTCAGGTTGGTTTAGTTTCTTTGACCATTCTGTATTCCTTGCTCTATGCTGTAGCATACTGCAAGCAAACTCCACTATGGGATGTACGGTTGCAGGCGCGTGGTGGCTAGCAGCGTCCCTATACAATTTTGTTAGTAGGCCCCCTTAGTGTTGAAGACAACTGCATCTCATGGAGCCTTGACTTAAAGGACTCCACTGAAGTAGCTGAAGTACCGTTCATTGGCTAACATACGAGCTAAAGCAACTTCTGTTATTAAAGACAGTGTTTTAACCATAACCCTGCCAGATACAACACAGTGCATCAGGTGGAAAAGTCTGGTGCACTTTGATGCATTCAGCTACCAACACCAGTGCATAAACGGCCAGTTCTGAGACAGCGAAAACTAATCTCATAGAACAATGCCTCAGTTGTATCCTGGTGCATTCGGGGACCACAGATTCTGAGGCAGCTTGGCCTTGAGACATTTTGCCTGATGGATCTTGCTGCACTGGGCAGGATTATCACTTCGACAAGTGTTGCATGTTGCTGCGTTTGGCAGGGTTTCTAGCCAAAATTCCCTGGAGGGTTAGGGATAATAAGCAGTTTTGAAGGTCAATTTAATATTTCATGTTCTATTGACATTCCTTAATTGTGATAATTTTGCAGATGCATCATCTAAAGTGCTTTGCATGATGGAGTGTACAAAACATTGAGTAGTGAATATGTATCATTGAAAGAGATGTGGTTCTGGGAACTGGAACGTCTGTGGTTTTTCTCAGAGCTCTCTTTTAGTGATACAAAGTCACTTCAAATTGGAACTTACAGACTTCTCCCAAGTTGTATTCTTCATCATGTTATCCGTCCAAATTTTGCATTTATCCATGATCTTCATACATACCTGCTTTAGACTCCTGAAAGGTCCCCCACCTCGTTGTTGCATAATACTGACATGTTCACTTTCATCTGACATTGTATCCTGTTGATCGCTGCAAGTTTTACTTGCCCAAATAAATGTAGAGTTCAAAGCAATATTTTATTTGTTTTCACATGATTTCTAACCTTATTTGGGGGGTTTTCTTTCCAGGTAGCAGTTCTTGAGCTCATCTCCGATCCGTCCAGAAGGCTGTGTGTTGCCAACACTCATCTGTACTTCCATCCCAGAGCTTCTCATATCCGCCTGATCCAGACAGCGATTGTCACGCAGCATGTGGAGAGGGTCTGCTCAATGTATCAACAGGTGGGTGTGATCCAGAAGTTTCTCTCTGTTGCTGGACTAAGCATTGTCTTAAGAAACTCAGCACTCGGACCCAAGAAGTAGACCTTGGGAAGGGCCCAATTTCATAGAGCTGCTTAAGCAGAAACTTTGCTTAAGCACGAAAAAACATTGCTTAGTAAAATTAGGTTACCGGCCAAAACTCCATGTGATGTACATTGCTTGTGACTGGTATTTAGCAGTTGTTTACTTAGCATAACAATCGCATGGAGTTTTGGCCGGTAACCTGATTTTATTAAGCAAGACGTTTTTGTGCTTAAGCAAATTTTGTGCTTAAGCAGCTCTATGAAATTGGCCCATGCGTTGCAAGTGTCTCAGGGTGTGTTCTTTGCTATTTGAATATGTTAACAATGAATGCACAAATGGTTTACTCATGTCTATCCTGCTGATACAAAACCATTGCTCTCTGACTCAGCCTTAACCCTAACCTTCCCAACTCCATCAAAATCCATTTCCCCTTTTGGGGGATTTTGGCAGGCAAGCCATGTTTACCAAGTCCATCCAAATCCACCTGTAGTAGTGGTGGTCTTGTGGTGGATTTCAGCGGATTTGGTCCTGCACTTGGTACAGTTCTTAGTATAAGATGGGAGTTGGGGTTAATGCATAAGGTCTATTCCAAGCATACCTCACACAGGCTTTATTCTTGCTAATGTGCAGGCATGAGGCACCCTTAGCATTTCTTGGGTCTGAGTGCCAAGATTCCAAGATTGGATTTGGTCCATCTTGTTGATAGTGCTGTCTACCACCAAGATGGCGTAGCTGCACTTGCCATGGTCTTGCCATGTTTGGGGAAGACAGTCACCGGACTCATGTTCTGGTGTTTCAGAGGCAACAGTGACGTGGGTTCGAGCCCGGGCCCGGACACTTGTGCCCTTAAGCAAGGCACTTAACCATTATTGCTTCGTCCTTCGGATGGGACGTTAAGCCGGAGGTCCCGTGTGTTGTATAAGGCCTAACGCACGTAAAACAACCCATTAACACGTATCGCTAAGAGAAGGGGGTTTGCCCCGGTGTTTCTGGCCTCCTAGTTGTGCTCTCTTGTGGAAGTCCTTAGGAGAAGAACCAACCAAGTACCAGTCTAAATCCAGTCGTAGGTCAAGAATCGGCTAGGCACCGCCATCTTCAGTTTGTGCATGGAGCCTAAGAACAATGCACAAGCACATGTACGTCGCCAACAGTTTCAAAGTGATCTGACAGATGTTCTTACCCAATTGCCGCTGTACATCCAATGCCTCCACAAAGCTACTACAGGATTTGTGCACATTCATATGAAACTTTGTTATGCATGCGAAGTGTCGTGCTGGTGTGAATCGGCGTGTCCCCTTGTTGTGTCCTGCATATACAGCCCTTGTAAATGGTCACTATGCCCCATCAACTAGTCATGCATAGACTCCAAAAAGATCCTTACCGATTATTTTCAATTTGTTCTGTTTTGTAGGACGGTGGAGTCAGACCAGCTGTTCTTCTGTGTGGTGATCTCAACAGCACACCTGGTGGCTGTGTGTATGAGTTTCTTACCAAGGGAAGCGTGGCAGAGAACTCGGTGGATTGGTATACAAGTAAGTATACAGGTTGAGATCTCCCAGAAAATAAGAACAAACTTCCCATGTTTTATTTGCTTTGAGACATGTTTTCCCCTAGTCTTCAATCGTGATTCTTGCTGCCTCACTCTCTTTTTTTTTTAGGGTGTTGGTTGCATTCTGTTTTGATTGTTTTCAGTTTTCAAACAATTTTTGAATTGCTTTTATTTTATTTTTTTAGGTTGTATTTGATTTTTCTTGTGAATGTTTTGACTTTCTTGAGAGTTTTTGGTATGTTTTACAGTCCTAACATGTCTAAAGCACTGCAATATGACACTACTGCATTAAATTTTGGAAGGTAACAGATTTTGCTTTGTTGAGAAGGGTGGTGCTTCCGAGTAGCATGAGTTGGATCTAGCTCCAAATGATGATCCTGATTGATAGTCTGTGAGACCTCAGGACATCTGTCTGTATGTCTGTATGGTTACGTTGCAGAAACCTATTCAGGCATTATCGCAACGGAGTATAGGTACTCAAGGCACTGGGAGTTATGTCTATTATTAGATGAATAAAGTACATGAGAAATATGAGACCCATTATGTAGCACCTTTTAAGGGTTTATAAGGTGCTGCGGCCACTGCCAGGACACCGGGGCGAACCCCTTCTCTTAGCGACAAGTGTCGCTGGGTTCTTTAACGTGCATTATACAACACATGGGACCTACGGCTTTACGTCCCATCCGAAGAACGAAGCAAGAATGGTTAAGTGCCTTGCTTAAGGGCACAAGTGTCCACCGGCGGGCTCGAACCCACGTCACTGTTGCCTCTGAAACACCAGAACATGAGTCCGGTGCTCTTAACCGCTAGGCCATGACATCTGGTGATTCAGTATTTTATTTATTTTTAAAATTTATTTTGCAGGTGGAAAAGACGAGTTTTGTGGAGGCATGGCCCTGACACACTCCCTCAACCTCCAAGATGCTTGTCAAGACATCGCTTACACAACCTCGTGGCCAGCTTCAGAGGTAAACTGGACCACATCATGATTGAGAGAAACGAGATGAACGTAGAACGCGTCGTTCCGATGTCGACCCACGAGGAAGTGACGAGGCATGTTGCTTTGCCTAACGCTGTGTTTCCATCCGACCACTTGCCGCTGGTGTGTGAACTGGGTTGGAGAGATACGTCTTGATGTCAAACATCCCGATATTGAAGCTTCCTCCTTTACTGTACTACAGTGCTGAGCATCTTGTATTCTGGCTGATTGGTGATGAGATTGTTCATTTTTTGATAAACGCGTGGAATTTGGCAAACAGTCAGAGTATGCCATGAGAAAGATATCTGGCTATAGGGCCATCGCAGATTTGTCCTTTGAAAAAATATATAGGTAGAATAACAAGCAATGGCAGCCATTCTGAAAATTTTGAAAATTGCTTGTTATTCCACCTATTTGTTTTTACAGATACAAATCTGCCATGACCCTATAGATGAAAACTTTCTCTTGGGCATTTTCTTACCGTGTGCCAACTTTCATGCTTTTATCATCAAACGAGCAATTCTATCATATTTTGCACCAATTTGCCTGACTATTGTCTACTAATGTGGCGCACATTGATTATTTTTTGCCTTTTGTGCCTTGCCGCAGTCAACGTTTTACCTCAAATTTCACAGTAAGTGAAATAAACCAATTGCTCAACATTCTGTTCACTTCTTATTAACCTTGAGTTTACCTGCCTGTTACGAAGTTCAGGCCAAAAAAAAAAAATATTCGGTCTCTGGTCAGACCAAAGTTCCGAAATTGACGCGGAGACGCGGCTTTTTTTTTTCTTCAAGCTTGGATTGTACAGACAAGGTGGGGTACTAATTTGCCTTGGTGCTGTGGATCATTTGCCTTGGTGTAATTCCCCATTCCTTGGTGCTCTTTGTTAAAAAAAAAATAGAGGAGGTGCGGCAATAGAGGGCGCTGTTGGAGCTACCGCGGAACATTTTGAAGAAAAAAAAAGATTGACGCGCATGATTAAAATCGATGCGCGCGCTGACCAGAGACCGACATATTTTTTTTTTGGCCTAAGAGAGAAATTTTATTTTGGTGTGTTTTCCGACTGTTATTGTGAAGTGCGCATTGTACTTAACTTCGCCAGATAAGTAAGAAATAAGAATGTTTCTGGTAAACATGTAGTGGATATGTGAGTGGAAATAACAATACTTTCAGAAAGTCATTTTAAAAGAAATTACAATATTTATTCTAATGCACCACATTACGGAACAGTTTTGTGCCAAATTTTTCTAACGCCACTGTATTTGAAATTGGGACAAAATTCCCTGACACTAACGTTTTTCGCAAGTGTTCAACAGCAAGCATTATTAAGGTAATAGTAGTAGTAACTATAACTGAATGAATTTGAAGCTTGTCAATCAAGAGGTTTGGCAACATTGCATGAGGAAAGTTGGACGAAACCTTGACGTGCACCACGTTAGGGGACTCCACTATATAAACTTTTTATGTTTTATTTTATAGAAATAATTGAGTAAACAAGATGGAACTAAAACAGTGCACTATGTGAAGTCCACATACCAGCGCAACATATCTGGCAAACTTCAGTATCCATGTCCTGTAAAACGTTAGTTAAGGGACTTCAAAAGTATCTTTTTTGAAAGACTTATTCTTGCAATCCAAAACAAAACTTCAGTTTGCTGAAAAGACTGTCTATGAAGGCCAATAGAATTTGTAGTTTTTAATTGCTGTCTTGTTCTACGGTTAAAAAACGTCAAATTTATTCACTAAAGTGCCTGAAACAGTCCTACAATTACATGTACTAACTTGATCGGAGATTGAGAATAAAGCACACCTAGCCACACCATTATGTTTTGATGTGAATTTGTTATTATTTAAATGTAACAACTTACTTTGAACAGACAAAATGTGAACGAGTATTAACATAAACCATGAGCCATTAGGCTTCTATCCAAAGGACAATTGAATAGTCTCCCGAGGAACATGTATCGCAACATTAATTTGTAAAATAAGTTCTAAAGTGGTCCTTCAGTCTCATTGTACATGTACCGAAATGGGATCCTGCTAATCATGAGCACAAAGTAATATCCATTTTTCCATGGCCTCCCAATAAAGTTTTACTTGACTACAGAGGGCGCTGTCGCTTGTACTGCAAACGGGCCTTTTTTAGTTTCAGGCGAAACCCCACCCGGTTCGCGAATGGGAAGACGTCCTCAATTGGGAGATGATTGAAAACAGCTGAGCGCCACGCGTTGTTGACGGAAGTTGTTTGACAACTTCGACTTCGAGAGTTTTGGTTGCTCACTTGACATTCTTGAGACTGATCGAGCTGTAACTTTTGAATCGCCTTATTAAAAATAAAGATTCACTCACAAGAAAGCAAAGTTGAGTCACAAAGCGAGGTAGGTTCTGGAAACCCTCCCTAGACCCTAATTTCTAAATTGCTTGTGCATTACGCCATTAGGCCAAAAAAAAAAAAATTCGGTCTCTGGTCAGACCAAAGACGCAAAGTTCCGGAATTGACGCAGGGACGCGGCTTTTTGTTTTTCGCAGTGGCTATTGTTACGGCAGCCGTAACGCATTTCCCATTTTCTATCGTCACGGTAGATTGCAACTTTTATAAAAACATGAGAAGAAAATATAAAATTAGACGGAAAAAAGTGAATTTGAACGTGATGAAATTCGGACTTTATTTCCCTTTTAAAAAAAATCCTCCAATTTAAAAGCCTCAGGTTAGAAAAGGAAAAAAATTCGAGTGCTAAACTGAGATGCGAACCCGCAACCTCGCGGTGCCAAATCCTACCCTCTATCGACTGAGCTGTCGCACTACTCGCTAAAAACGTGGGGAAACAAATAATTATATACCTGCGTGCATATCAAAAAAGTATCGTAGAGGGCGCTAAACAACGGCTGCCGTAACGATAGCCACTTCGTTTTGTGGGTTTTTTTTCTTCAAGCTTGGATTGTACAGACAAGGTGGGGTATTATTTTGCTTTTTTCCTTGGTGCTCTTTGGTTAAAAAAATTGAGCAGGTGCGGCAATAGAGGGTGCTGTTGGAGCTACCGTGGATAATTTTGGAGAAAAAAAAAGATTGACGCGCATGATTAAAATCGACGCGCGCGCTGACCAGAGACCGACTTATTCTTTTTTTGGCCTTACTGATTACGGGTGGGAGGGGGGGGGGGGGGTTCAGACTGGTCATGCTGGTACAAATCGGGGAAAACATATATATCTCAAAATGAAGGTCATTCATTGCAAAAATGATAAGACATGAATCTGGGATATCCCTAGAGACTACGGGTCTTGCTAAACTCAACTCTAGTTTTTTTTTGGTTGTTGACTGTATTATACTAGAGTATAATCAGTATACAGCATGGTTCCGCTTTGGAGCAGGACCCCTATAGTATTCGGATAGATTTTTGTCAAAGATATTTTTCCAGTAACTATTTCCATAAATGGTTAGAGAGGTCTGACATGAAAAATGAAAGAAAAGCAAGCGCCAAAATCATAACTGCACCATGTTTTCTAGTATATGATAAATGGTCAGTTTTGAAGAGCGCCCCTTTTTGAAAGATGGGTACCAAGATGGGTTCTAACTTGATACTTTCATTCTGAAAGTTGTTTTGATATGTACTGAGACAGAATCCTGTTACTTTTAATCAAGAGCACAATTTTTCATTTTTTTCTTGGGTCTCGAGATAAAGTTTGATTTGACTCCAGAGGGCGCTGTCACCTGAACAGCAAACATACCCAACAGTGGAAGATATATTCAACTGGGAAAAGACTGAAAACAGCTGAGCGCTGCGTGCCCTTTACGGAAGTCCGCTGATCGTGCCCAATGCAGTCGCTACATTTACAGAACCCATGCATGTACAATTTGTACATTCACTGAGTTACAATGTGGTAAAATGTTTACTTTTATCTTTCCTGAAGGACAACGAAATCCACTTTTTGTTATTTGACTCGCCAAAATAGCTGGTGGTCCTGAAAAGCAACAGTAATATCATGAAAATAGGATTGATGCCAAGAATTCTCAAAAATGTCACTTTACTTACAGAAAACAATGTGAAGTTTTGGGAGGGATGAAGATGTTTGACAAAAATCAGTTTGAGGAAACCTGTTGTATCAGCATTGATTGTGAGTAGAAACAGCGCCTATGGGCGTTTTCGAATCCCTGTTCTTGACAACACGCGTGTAGCACGAGAACGTGTTCTCGAGCCGGTTGTTACGAACGCGCGGGTGCGTGTCGCATCGATATAAAGCAATGCAAAATGGCCGACAATCGTCTGAATTTGTACTTGGGCCTATTCCAAATGAACGAGGACGACTCTGAAGATGAATGTGAAACAGACCAAAATTGCAGACCTGCACTATAATGGTATTCTTATTCCAATCATTAGGGTATTAGCAAAAAAAAAAACAACCACAAAACAACTTTCGAATCTGCACAGTCCGCCATTTTGTTCAAGCTGCACCTCGCCGAACCCTCCATCAACCGGGGAGTGAAAAAATCGATCCGCGAACGCCCTCTCGGGTCTGTTCGTCACGTTCGAGACCGCTGTTCTCGTGTCAGGTTAACCCGAGTGTTGTCAAGAACAGGGATTCGAAAACGCCCACCATGTGGTCAGATTATTTGAGATCATTTTCACTGTCCAAAAATTATTTTCTGGTGATTGGTTAAAATGAAATCATAACTGATTATAAAATGGTGTTACCACTCGTATCTGCCAAAGTCCCGTCTAAAACAATTTGCCAACTGAAACTCATATGTACATGTACAGCTAATACATGTTGGATGACAATTTATCGTAACAAAACAAACATGTAATTTTAACCATCATTAAAAACTAAAGATCTCCATCAGGCCAAAAAAAGTCTCCGGTTTCTGGCATGGAGCTTGCCCCAAAAGTGGTGCGGTGACGCATGTTTTTTGTTCTCCCCTACTTTTTATTTCTTCAAATGTCAAATGTCGGCTGATTGCAGATGCACTATTTGTGGCCTCTCTGGACTCCCATGCACCAAATTTAATTGGGTACCATTTGCAGACGGTTTATAACTGCGGGGACGCATGTTTTTTTTCCCTTACTTTTTATTTCTTCAAATGTCAAATGTCGGCTGATTGCAGATGCACTATTTGTGGCCTCTCTGGACTCCCATGCACCAAATTTGATTGGGTACCATTTGCAGACGGTTTATAACTGCGGCGACGCATGTTTTTCCCCCCTACTTTTTATTTCTTCAAACATCGGCTGAAAACTCTCAAAAATATCCTTTAGAGTGGAGCTTGAGGTGACCTCAGTAAGGCCATAAGGCTTGAGAATTCTGCACCCACTTACAATTCTAGACCGACAAGAAAATTCTTTGGGAAATTTGGATAGTCAAGACAAAAATCAGAGAAAAGGTCAGACCATACAGCTTCAGGGTGCAACCCTGCAAAAACATCCCATAGACACTAGTGCTAAATGCGCATACTTCAAAATTCTTTTAAAAATGCTCAAACTCTCACAGGTATTCAAGCTGCACAGAAAAATGATGATCAATGTGTCGTCTTTCATTTCCTTTTCATTTTTGGGTGGGTTGACCATTGACTTTTCGAGATATTCTCGCCCAAAGAAGACGACCCCTATTTTCCCCAAAGCGGACAGGTAGCCATCTTGAAAAACGATCCCTCCACAACATGGCAAAATAGCGCCACTTTCGAGCCCAATAGCATCCAAAATGCTCAGAATTGGAAGCCCCAAGTCCGGGCCAGAGGTTCATTACCATATCTTTTCAATTCCCCAATTTTATGGCTCTCAAAACTATTTTGAGGGTATAACTTTTATTCATGAACTTGGCGGACGGATTTTTGGCCTATTTACAGGCGTGCACCCTTCATCGACATTGTGCAGAGCTGCCAGGCTGGTCATTAGTCTGCTTCCTTACATATTGCGCTTACATAAAACTGCGTTTACAGGTTCTAGATACACGACCATTGCTCCTTCAGTCTGGCTTCCAGACACACAGTTACAAAATGACAACACCGTCTGCAAATGGTACCCAACTAAATTTGGTGCAGAATATATGGGAGCCCAGAGAGGCCACATATACTCTATGATAACTCCATCTAAAAACATATTAAAATTGTGCAGCAGCAGGACTCCAATCAACCAGTGAGTTTGGCGGTTTTGAGACAAATCAAAAAGTTTTTTTTTCAATGCAAGATGATCTTGCATTGAAAAAAAACTTTTTGATTTTGCGGTGCGCATGGCTACGGCGACGCTCGCGCTGACCAGAAACGGGAGACTTTTTTCAATGTGAAACTAACCCACACTGAGCTGACCTGTTGATCAAGTCAATGTACTTTTTGGCCGATTGACCCGAAGATACACCTGGAACTGTTCATTATTATCTGGTGTTTGATTCACAGTCAGTTAGTGTCAAGATGTTATAGATTAGTTCCGTAATCCTCCAACCTGTCGGAATAGTTCAAGTGGCCAAGGGTAAGCTAGTCAGGAAAATTTGATGTGCATTAATAAGCCTGGGGAACCTGTTGGACTGACCTCCCCACTCCCAGGGCTGCCAACTCTCTCGCATTGAGCGTGAGACTCACGCATTTTAGGTTGTTCTCACGCTCTCATGCGCACGCGAGATTTCTCACGCAAACAAAATAAATAACTTAATCAGGCCAAAAAAAAAAATATTCGGTCTCTGGTCAGACCAAAGTTCCGGAATTGACGCGGCCACGCGGCTTTTTTTTTTTTTTTTTTTTTTTTTTTTTTTTTTTTCTTCAAGCTTGGATTGTACAGACAAGGTGGGGTACTATTTTGCTTTTTTGGTGTGCTCATGTACATTGGTGTCTTCCATAATTTGCCTTGGTGCTTTCGATCATTTGCCTTGGTGCAATTTCCCATTCCTTGGAGCTCTTTGGTAAAAAAAAATGAGGAGGTGCGGAAATAGAGGGCGCTGTTGGAGCTACCGCGGAACATTTTGGAAAAAAAAAAGATCGACGCGCATGATTAAAATCGACGCGCGCGCTGACCAGAGACCGACTTATTTTTTTTTGGTCAAACTCAAAGTTGATGTTTGAATGATGATCTTTTGCTAACAAAATTGGTTGAAGTGGTCAGAAATTGAAGATCGCACCACAGAGCGTTTAGAATCCAATTTTTTTCGGGGCCCTTTATAAGCGAGCCCTGATCAAGCTCCATAAGCCGTTTCGCAGATACCGCCATCTTGCCTGAAATCGTGATTGCGCAATGGCTGGGGGGGGGGGGGGCACACGTGACCCACACTGAAAATCTGTAATGTAAAAGGCATGGGAAGGTCAGACCTATTCTGAAAAATCTCTCTTTTTTTCAGTTAAAACTGATTAATGGCACATTGAGCTGTCTATGGGCAGGGGCGGCGGAACGGGGGGGGGGGGGGGGGGGGGGGGGGGGGGGCGTTTGCCCCCCCAGATTTTCCCAAGTGCCCCTTTTGCGGCCATAAATGTGCCCCCTCGAGCATTAAAGTGTCCCCTCGAGATAAATCAAAAATGCCCTTAAAGTATCTTACTATTTCTTAGAAGTAACCATTTCCCAATAATGGTAGAGATATTTTTGATATAAACGAGGAATATGAAAACCAAGTCCCAAAACCCATACAAGACGCCCTGAAAATGGGCACATAATGTATGTTTAGCATATAATCACTGGTTTTGAAGAGCGCCCCCTATGTTGGAAGATGGTACCAGCCCCAAGTTCAAGAAATTTATCACGTAGTCACGTGACCCCTCACAATTACGATCCGGACATGAGAGTGTCCAGATGGTAAGTACGATAAGAAATTTTTCGCAATGTGCGTGGTCACGTGACTATTTTTTCGTGATAAATTTTCCCTTTTTGAGCTTGGTGCCGTTGCATGTGATTTTTTTGTTTGATTTTTTTTCTCACCCATGGACAGCAAATTTGTCACCCTGTTAGGAAAATTGTGTGCATGTTGGCAAATATGCAGCAACGAATAGCGCCACCTATTGTCCAAGAGCTCCGCTTATGAACAGCACCCCTACTCCCTCCCCCACAAGTAGGTGTCTGCCCCAACCCCCAACCCACTTTTAGATTTTTCAACAGCCGATGACTACCATAATACAATGGCTACCTTCCAACATGGTTGGTCTTTTGGCAATTGTGTTGTTACACGCTCCGCCCCCCCCCCCCCCCCCCCCTATTCAAATTGGTATGGCAACGCTCCTGATCCTGTGTAATTCCTTTTCAACTTGACCAACTTGACCTGCAAAATGACTCGGAAAACTCCCTATGCTGTTGTGGTCAGTGTCTGTTGCCATGGAGGTAATTCTATACCTCCATGCTGTTGCTTAGCGGTCAGTGTAGGGCCACAGAGCGGTCAGTGTGTGTGGCTTGTCTTGCGGTCATCAGTATGCGTTGATGAGCAGTCAGTGCATTGAGCAGGGAAAAGCGAGACGATGAAGTGATTATCACTTGACATGTCAAATTGCCTGAGGGATCTTGGGCTCATCCCCGCTATCACGCATTCATCTTATCAAGTGTTGGATTTCACAGTTCACCCACTGCACTCACACCAAGCCTGCAGATTTTTTTTCAGGGGGGGGGGCCTACAATTGCATTAACACACAAAAAAGTCCAATTAAGGCACTATATTGTGAACACAACAGTGTGCGTGCATGGTATTTAAATATCTGTTTGTATCGTTGATTAAAGTTTCCGTGCTCTTCAAAAAGTATGGATTTTCTCCCAACATATTTTCAATTTGTATGTTTTGTTTTTCAGAAAAAATTATTTAATCCAATTTCCAACATCTGCAACCCACTGAAGTGGGGCTTTCATATTGTGCACAAATGAAACTGCACTGCGACTGGCATATTTTAAATTAGTATGTTTTGTTAAAAAAAAACCAACCTTTGTTATGTTTTGTTAAAAAAGGAGCTATTTAGCCTATTGAGCCTGTCAGTTATTCACAACCAAAGGTAAAATATTTCATTTAAAAGTTTTTTTTATTAATTATTGTCTGTCGGCTAACAATTCAAATTTTGTGAAGAAATAATTCAATAACTGTTTTCATTCGATGTGTCATCAAAAAATGAATAACTTCTATAGTGCTAGAAAAATATCAATTGTAAAAAGACTTTTTTTTTTAAGGGTGACACTTGAAAACAGCACAGGGAGTCATCTTCAACTTAAAGATATAGTCCATCTTTTGTAATTTGTGCATTTTGTTCGTTTGAAGCAACAAAAGTGCTCAAAATCTAAAGAAGGGTACTGAACAACTAACCTGATGAAGTTTCAGCTAAGCTTCAGCTGTATATTCCGAGAAAAAAGGCATTCTAGGATCTCAATTTCAAATCAATAGTTGCTAAATCTGTTTTGAATTGGGCCTGAATTCAGCGTCCGAGACGCGTCCTCACTGAGCCGATTGCAGCTACGCAATGTCGTGCCAATGCTTGCGCGCACCTCGCCGAATAACAAAACAAATTACTAATTTAAATTTCCTACGGTGTGTCATAAGACGCACCGTTGGAAAGGCCTTCTTTCGTTGATTAATTCAAAGTGACAGCTTGCCAGAAAGAATAATTTCACAGAGAGTTTAGTCCCCTTCCTATCTTTCATCCAAGTATGTTTTTCAACAATAATTACGCCAGTTAGTTTTCGGATAGCTGCAAATGATGGACTATAGCTTTAAGCCAAATATGATTTAAAAAGTAACTGTAACACACTGTATTTAAACAGTGAGAGTAGAATGTTGAACCAGAAAGGGTAGTTACTTTCAGTAAGATTTTGTTTTGTTTTTGATTTTCTTTTAGCGTGTATGTCTTTTGCCTGAAGCCTAAGAGATGGAAGGCGTTGACACATTCACTGTGGCAATATGGCAATCAAGGATAGACTGGATGAGCCTGGTAATTATAAGCTCTCATCAGCTGAATGTTACTCTCCTACGCTATCAACAGCCGAAGGTAACATATTTCATTTCAAAGTTTCTTTATTATTAATTATTTCTTGTCAAAAATCAAGGATTCCTCAAAAGCGCACAAGGCACTATAGCTCGCAAGCCTGAAGAAACCTGTAGAGAGAAGACAATAAGAAGACATTCCAGTTTTAGAGGTGGGAGGAAAACAAAATAAAACGGTTTACTTGTGTAACTTCTGATGGCAATATTACAACAATATATAACATCAAAGCTTTATACGCTTTAATATTAGCATACATTAATATCAGTATATGTAGATGCACGTACAAAGCTACAATAACACTTGTATGACAAGTGATATGGTCTGACGGTGGATCCATTGCAGAAGCCTGCTAGTGGAAATTGCCAATTACGCAGTGATACGACCACACGTCACAGATGGGTACTCAGTCAATTACTGCAAATTGGACAGACCGTCCAAAATAGCCAAGAAAGCCAAAAAAAGCCACTTAGCCATTTAATAACTACAGGTACATATTGTAATCACGTCTGTTGAATTGCTTGCATCTGTTATTGAGATGAAAACCTGTTGTGCTACTTTGCAATGATTACGTGAACAATCATTTGCAATTTTATCCTCTGTGAACGTGAAGTTGGCGACAGTTTTATTACTAGCTCTAACATAAAATCAGAGTCAGCCAATTTTGTTGAGGGTATGAAATTAAAGATTGATGGTTCAGTAGTGAACAGACTTTGTGTGAAAATGATGTAATCCAAGTGTGTTTTCTTGTAATTCGGCAATTAGGTTGGAGACCAAAACAATTATCGAGAGTGACCCTGTCTGCTAAAATTTTGTTTCTTTTTTTGATTTAGGTATAGAGTACTGTTTGTAGACAACCAATTTTCCTAAATCACTGCAAGAATCACAATTTCAGTTGGAATCTTGTTTTTATTTATAAAAAAAACCCTCCTTCCAAAAGTTCTCATATTCATAATGTAAAAAGGGAATAATTTCAGAACATTTGTATCTCATAAAACTGATTAGCAATCTGCAGTGTACCCGGTATGTGTACCATAGGATACCTAATGAAAGCTTACGGTAGTTCATTTTTTTCCCAATAAATTTTGATATTTTCAAGTAATCAGCTCAGATATTTCACGTTCGCAGCATCAGACTAATTTCCACCCAGTTGCAGAGCTAACCCTGCCAAAGGAATTTGTAGTGGAAGACAGATGACATTAAATTCTGCCAGTCTAGCCTTGGTATTAATAAGATTAATTGATTCAGACACCGCTAAACCGATTGGAATGATATCACAACGTGATAAATGATGCAATAAATTTTGCTTGAAATCTCTCGGAAGGAAAAAGATGACACAAATCAACCCAATGAGGTGCTCCAAGATGCCCAATTTATATTCAATGAATGATTGATTTCTTTGTTCATTGTGTCAGTCTTTAAAGATGCATACCCTAAAAAATTGATAATTTTTTGCTGAAACCCTCTGAAAAAGGAATTCATTTTGCACACAAATGACCCGCCCTGTGAGAGCCTCATTATTGCCTTGTAGTCAATAATCAATTTTTGTGAATGTCGGTGGATTTTTACGTCAGATGTCTCATTCAAAAGTGAATAACTTGTCTATTTCTAGGAAAATAGCACTTGTAAAAACAAATCTATTATTCGAGCAGAAATTCGAAAATAGAACAGGGAACGCGTCTTTAATATTGATTGCACTTAAAATATTCCTAGTAAGGAAGTACCAGCCAGGAAAGTTATTATAAGGCCGAAAAAATGTCTTGAGGCCCCAGTAAAGATAATGGAAACAGCCACTGGCAAGGTGCCAACATTTAGAAATCTTTTGTTCATCTAATCTAGCTTGCCTGATGGCCAAATATTCCCAGGGTTACGTGTACATCCCACACAATTCCAAATGCAAATGAAGGTCTCGCTGTGACTATAGTGGGCTGGCCTAGTTCCATCCCGGCTGCATTCTGCGGCCAGCCAGCCAGACCTCCTCTTAGGAGCTTAATCTCCCGCAGACCGATGCTCAGCTCCGTGCTATTAAGTCGTGGCCGTACCTAGAGGCATGCATATTCACTAATCCATCCCAGAATCTATTATTGCTGCTGTCTGCCGGCCTGCGATCATAGGCTGGGGAGGACGGACAGGACGGCCCATTTGCACAGTCTTGCAGCAACGTGTTTGGAATTACAAGCCTGTATTGTGATGTACTCACAGGTTAATCCTTGCGGATACCGGCTGTGACAGGGCACCGGGGGATTTTCAGTGTGGATTTAAGTAACGTACGGTGCTGTCAGGCCATAAAACAAATGCGATTCTGTTTGGAGATGAACTATTGACAACATTTTCTGCAGAGAGTCGGCGGAGTTTTGAAATACCGTGTAACATCAGTCCTCACCGAAAACATTAGGATTGGAGCTGGAAATACTTTTTCGGAAGAAAATTTACCTCTACTATTTCTTCTTTATTGACGATTACAGAAAAGGAAAAACAAATCTTGCAGTGTCTTCTGGAAGAGGAGGAAATCTCATCAGCATTTTGGGAATTGATTCGTCTCAAGAGATCACTATCGTTAGGAGTGTCAGTTGGAATTTTCCATACGATTGCATTTCTGGATAGGAATTCTGCATTTCAACTTTTCAAGATTTGGAAAGGTAAGTGAATTTTGTAAATTATTTATTGAATGAATCGCTGATGGAGACACTTGCAATTCAAATTGGTTGGAATGTTTTCATATTTTCCAAGCAATATTACATTTCTAGTTTTTTTTTACACATAACCTTTTTATTCTGAATTTTAGTATATTGTTTTCCCGATGTGACAAGTTACCAAATTTCATTTTAAAATTTCAATAACGATAGCAAAATGATGTAATGTTCCTTATTGAAGGGAAAGCAAAATCTGTTTTTGTGTGAAATCAGCTGGGTTGATAAACTCTCTGACATTTAGAAGACAAATGTTCATATCAGTGAGCAGGTTTTTGTTTAGAAAGAATCCTAATATAGGGTGTGAGTCATAGTTGGAAACAAAAAATGTTGCGCAATGCTTTCAAATGCAATTAAAAAATTTAAGTTTTTAACGACCAGGTGGTTCTGTTTAATGATCCATTACAAATTCATCAATAAATTAAATGATGCAGAATCACAGGTGCACGCACTTGATTCTACCATACTTCATCCTTAAGACACAGATGAGTGTAATGAAATCCACAGAATGAGGAGAATGGCTCCGAGGTTGGAGTCTAGATTGTAAGATAGCCTCGGCTTAATAGAAAGATTGGAGAAATCTGGTCGGGTTGATCTCTGGAATTGCAAAAAAAATGATTGACTATCAATGGATTACTCAAACTGAGTGACGTAACGCTCTTCCGAGTGGCGTAACGCTCTTCCTTTTTGATTACACAACATGACTGCATGACTTATTGAATTTATTGCAGGGAAATTTGATTAAACTCCTAAGTGTCTGGTTTGTGTTTTGTGGCTGGGTATACTGAAGCATGTAGTCGGTGGACATTGTTTTAAGAGCATTTGCCTTCTTTCTGTTAGAACGCTGCACTTTGATTTCACGTGGTACATTATGTTTAGAAAAATAATATAACAGTGTTGTATTGTTGGGTTTTTTTTTAATGAAGAGCAACTTGATTTTGGGTTTCAATTGGAATTTAGTGTTTATAAAATACAGCGGTAAGGGGAAAAACCCAATATTGAAATTTGCATAAATTTGGCATTTGAAAGCATGAAAAATATATTCATTAACAAACTGTAATTTCCAAAAGGGCAATTTCACGGTTACTCACGTTACATTTTTGATGTACTTTTGAGTTTCCTTGGGCTGCAATTACCTTACTGAAAAGGTTTAATAACTGTTATCCCCATGGTAGATAGAGTAGACCTAGACCTGCCTAAGCACCAAAGATGACATCCAGAAAAATGTGTTATGTATGATAAACAAGACACACAAAATCGGTTACTCACATTATGAAAATGTAACGTGAGTAACCGATTTTGTGCGTCTTGTTTATCATACATAACACATTTTTCTGGATGTCATCTTTCGTGCTTAGGTAGATCTAGGTCTACTCTATCTACCATGGGGATAACAGTTATTAAACCTTTTCAGTAAAGTAATTACAGCCCATGGAAACTCAAAAGTACATCAAAAATGTAACGTGAGTAACCGTGGAATTACCCAAAAGATGAATGTGTTTTGGCATTTGAAAATTATGAAAAAATGTGCGTTACCCCTTCGGTGCACAGATTATTTGGACCAGATGCATACTTTTCTTGGGCTGTCATTAGTTACCGTCCTGTGCACAAAAGGGTTAAATTAATGAGAGAAGTGTAATTTCCAAAAGAGGGATATATTTTTTTTTAGTGTTTGTTATCTCTAATTTAAATTTGTGGTTGACTGCTGAAAGTTCTTAGATAGTCTCTGAACTGTCAGTGTTGACTCTTTTCTTCAAATCGCTGTTGGCAATTTTTGTCCGTGTTCCTCAAGAGAGTTGTCAAGTCCTGTTCATTACAATGTTCTATATCTCCCAGCGTGTTTGCGTGCTGTCTCTTCCACCCACTATGAAGTGCGTCTGTTGATACACCTGTAAATTAACAAATCAATGTCTGTCTGGAATGAGGTATTTACCCACGAGCCATTAGCTATTCACACAACAACAGAGCTTAGAATTATCTCACCGGTAAGGAGACCAGAGTGTTTTGTTCTCGAGTATTAGAGCAAACACATTTAACGAATTGGAACATTTAAAAACCAAGGACGGTGGTAATGGATTGTTTACTGTAACTTTTTTTTCTGAGCTCGTGGGTAGTTTGATGCAGTCTTATTTGTATTTCTTTTTGTATTAAAACTATACGTTTTGGGTCTTTTTCATTACGGAAAATAAAAGAAGTACATGTATGAATCATGATCCTTACTGTAGAAACTTAAAGCTATAGTCCATCATTTGCAGCTATTTGAAAAAGTAACTGGCGTATTATTGTTGAAAAACATACTTGGTTAAAAGATAGTAAGTGGACTAAACTCCCTGTGAAATTAATCTTTCTGGCAAGCTATCATTTTGAAGTAATCAACGAAAGAAGGCCTTTCCAACGGTGCGTCTTAAGACGCACCGTAGGAAAATTTAAATTAGTAGTTCGTTTTGTTATTCGGTGCAGCGCGCGCATGCATTGGCACGACGCACAGGCACGCGCGGTTGCTATAATTCGTCGGATCAGTGCACGACATCGCGTATAGCTGCAATTCAAAACAATTCAAAACATGATTCAGCAACTTTTGATTTGAAATTGAGATCCTAGAATGCTGTTTTTTTTTCTCGGAATATACAGCTGAAGCTGAACTGAAACTTCATCAGGTTAGTTGTTCAGTATCCTTCATTAGATTTTGAACACTTTTGTTGCTTCAAACGAACAAAATGCACAAATTACAAATGATGGACTATATCTTTAAACACGTACAGTTCATGTGTAACTGAGGAGTAGAGGTCAAGAAAGTTTCTGCACAAAAATGCAGAGATCCTTTTTGCATAATTAACATTACAAAGACTTGGAGACTAATGGTTTATGTAAATCAATAGTATGGATAGCATGTAGCTTGTCTTGTCTAACTGTAAATATCTCTCCCCGCATAATATTACTTTGTCTATGAGCAGGCTGATTACTTTAATTGATTTTTTTTGGAAGGATGCCTCTTTATTGATCATGGCTTATTGTCAATTGATTGGCTACAAAGGTAAAATTTAGGCTCGTAAACACAGTACTTGAAGGGAACAGTGCCCATCCCCTCCTCTCCTCCAAAACGTCAGCTGCAAGAGGTTTACCGTTTATCTTTTTCTTTTCTCAAGGAAGTCGAGGTATACCTCAAAACAAGTTTTTCGGAGGCCAAAAAAAGGCAACTTCCAGACCGATGAGTACGTATGATAATTTCAGCCAGCATTGGTTAAAAGCTTCTCAGAAGTCTCTTGGAAATCTAACCTGTCATGGTTTGATCCGTGCCTTCATGTCTTAGTAGAGTGCATGCATGCGTAAGATGACATTTGGTAGGGTTTTACTACAGTGTAAATTTTTATGCAAGGGTTTGCAACTTACAGCTTTAATATTACAGCACTGTTTGCTGAGCTTTTTTTACAAGTAGCACATTTGCTCATGGATGGGACTTGAACCAGTTTTTGTTCTTACTACCGGTAGTTAGCTGTGAAACTTCCAAATTGTCTGGACTCCAATTTTACAGTTATAGAGTCACAATTTTGGAGAAATTGGTAAGGGGAGAATTTGATTAATTAGCCAGTTCACTACTTTTTCATTGGCGCATGGCAGGGATGAGTTTTGACAGGATGTTTTTGTCAGATTTTCGCCTCCTGATTTCAGGATTTTTAAATTAATCCCTTTTGAAATGGGGAATATCACTGAGGTTTTTACAGTAAGAGTATTTTTACCCATGATTGTATGTAGAACAAAAGAAATAGGTATTGTAAGGTGTGCCTCAAGGCAAATACAAACATGTAGACCCTATGAGCATTGCTCTGAGGCCCTCCGCGACCCTCAAGCCCTCTATCTATTATTTCATTTATTTTTCAAATTCCCCCAATTTCACCCGGACTTTCATTTGCCGACTATGACTTTTGGGAGGGGCCGTATCATAAGTCCGACGCCTCATAGGTCCGACGCCTCATAAGTCCGAAATTTTGGACTTATGAGGCGTCGGAATATGAGGCATAAAGTTTATTTATTCTACCTCATAGGTCCGACGCCTCATAAGTCCGACACCTCATACATGTAAGTCCGACACTGGAAAAACGAAGCGTACGAGGTGTCGGACCTATGAGGCGTCGGACTTATGAGGTGTCGGAGCTATGAGACGTCGGACTTATGGGCCTTTATTTGGTTGGGGGATGCGATTTTGTCGGACATACGAGGCATCGGACGTATGAGGCGTCGGACTTATAAGCAGCCCCCTTTTTGGGATTATCTCAAGAGTTAAGGGATCATAAGCCCAGGGAGACGGTGGAAGCCAAAGTAATAATCTGATGAGCAGATTTAAAGCCGGTTTATATGTCACGAATGAATGAAAAGCGAAGTGAATCTGAAGTTGTGAAACAATCACAGCGAAATTTGCCTGAGGTGAAATGTGTTCAACTCTTGTGAATTTGCAGCACAAATATACTTGCTGTGACGTCACAAATTTGTGTTCCTTTCGCTTTTGTGCCGAGTGTAAAGTTACAATTGTAAAGTTATAAAGGTATTTATACAACAACTGGTCCCTCTCAAATGACGTCATTTCCTACAGCATTTTGAGCCTCAACTTGCATTTAACACGCCTTGGCTGCATCGTATTTTGAACATGTTTCGCGCAACAAGCGCGTGTGTTTGGAACATTTTCAACACTGCGCAATGTGTGCTTGAATGCATAAAATACGGTGCAGTTCTCCTACACAGATGGCCATCTTTGAAAGAGACCTATTCATTCGGAGTCCGCTCATAGTCCGATGCCTCATAGGTCCGACGCCTCATAAGTCACACAAAATTGCATCCCCCAACCAAATAGAGGACCATACATGTATTCCGACGCCTCATAGGTCCAACGCCTCATAAGTCCGACGCCTCATAGCTCCGATGCCTCATAGCTCCGACGCCTCATAGGTCCGACG